ATTTAATTTATATTTGTACACGGCGATTGATCAGTGCTTACGATAAACGATTTTAAGCGAAGTTCAAGGGTTGACTATTTACTTATACAAGGCTTAACTAGGTTTGCCTATTTTTCAACATTTTATAACAAATTAAAAATAAACCCTAGTAAAAGCTATGTGTGAGCTGTTAAAGAAGCTTTTGTTCCCTTAATTAAAATGATAATACAAGGAATTGAAATTGATTATGGTTTGCAAGCCACGCTTTAAAAAAAGTACACGAAGATAATGATTTGAAACAAGACGTTTTACTCAGAAATTGGAATCCCGATTGTGTATGCATTTTCAACGGTTGTCGGGTCACGGATATGATTTTACTATTAGTTTCAAATCGAAAATCATTCAAGAAAACATTGATCATAAAACCATAGGCTAAATGCAAAAGAGTTTATTCAAACGCTTAAGGATATCTTGGAGGTGTTCACGGTTGCACGGTTATTAACGAAAACTGGAAAGTAGACATTCGGTATTGGATCCAGAAGAATTTCAGAAAACCTCTATTTCTAAAAACTGTAGTATTGTAAATAAAATTGATGGAAATCACAAACAAAGAAAAGCTTAAGTTTTTGTTATCTAACTGTTACGATTCTGAGCGGAGTTCAGTTGATAGTGTTGCTTTGTCAACAATGTATAATACATACATAACATATTATGTCATTTTATGGTAAAATGATAACAACAATATGTGTGTCCATGACAACAATAATTATTCAAAAAAGATTTATCAAAATAATAAAAACTTAATAATAACAAAAAATAAATAAAAAAAGGTTGCCAATGACAATCTGATTTTTAATCTTTCAACCATTTTTAACCTAAATAACCTGGTTTTCCTCATTATCTCAAATATTAATGAGAATTTCAAAAATAACCTCTTTACCATTAAGAGAACATTTCCTTTCAGAAAAAGTGCTATATTTAATGATCGGAGTAAGCTTTCTGGAAGAAGTGTTCACACAAGAAAAAAAAAAAATTAAACATCACTGTAAAACCAATACATTCCTCGCTCCACCCAGAATCTAAAATGTATACATTTAAAACACAAAAATAAAAATACCTATTGTAATGAAAATATTGTTATAAAATTATAATGTACCTATTATTAACAATAATTGTTATTTATTATATTTTGAAATAAAAGTATTAAATTAAATTTATTTTTTGCGTCAGTATGATAAATGGAGCTATTTTATGTTATCGGAAACTAAATTCCAAAGCCCCTAAATAAAAGAATCACAAAAAATTACTGTTTACATTCAGGATAAAAAATATAAGTATATTGTATACTCAAAAATTGGTCGATATCCATATTGAATATTACACAAACATGTTATAAAATAGCATTAATTCTACGATTTTCGTCAAAATGTCAACTTTACAAATGCATCACTAATTTCATTTTCTTTAAATACTAAATACAGCTCGTGATGAATTTTCAATAATTTATGCTGGGACAGAACAATTTTATCCTCATGAAATCAAATGAAAACCAAAAACCTCGAATATTTCAAACGGTTGTATAAATAGCTTAACAATCTTTAGTTATTTTACAATTTTACCATATCCAGAAAGAGCTTTTATAATTACTTAGGAAAAATTGAGAATATTCTATGATAATCTCTAAACGAATTCAACAAAAAAACAAATTAAAAAATTATAGAAATCAACAAAATTTTAACATTTTGTGTACATTTTCTCAATGTTTTAGAAAAATACACAGAATATCAAAAAAAAAAACCTGCCCAATTAAACAATTAGACAAAATTTGTTAATAGAAACTATCCTTGATGTTGATAATCAGAGTCTGAGCAGGATTTCTGGTAAAAAAGTGGTTTGTAAAAACACACAAAACAAAATATCCATCATTGTAAAACCTTCAATAATACACTCAGAATCCTATAAAACAAAAAATGGTTCAAAAGACGATCAAACTCTGCACAAACATTAGAAAAAAAAAACAATTATTTTTCCGTTAGCCCTGCGTAAGTGAACGTGTGTCAATATGCGTGTTTCGTTACTATCGACCAAAGTATATACAGTATATACACGTTATAATGTTTACCGAAAAGCTTATTTGCCAACTTTAATAATGTTTACTCCGTCACGGAGTGCTATAAAATATACGCAATAAGAAGTCTCTCGTGGTTGACGGGTGACGGGATAACTGACTACGCAAAGATGATTAAGTGAGGATTGGGGGAAGAGGTCGGAGCAGGTGACGAAATTTGTTAGGCCCTAAAGGCCATTTTATGTATTCCGAGGATTTTGCCTCGGTTTTCATTTAAATACGCGGGTGACGGGGATAATGCTCGCTCTCGCGGGTTTCTGTCGCCTCGCGTTGCAGCCCCGAGGGCGACTTTCCGCAGGTCGTCGTCCATTGTCGCCTAACCCAAAATCCTTTTTCGGCAACGTATAAAAAAGATACAAAAAATGAGTACAAAAAAAAATACACAGCGTATTCCGCTTTCATTAGGATAATTGATTGTGCGCTCGAATGCCCTCGCGGCGATGGTGGCGACGACGGTGCCGTCCAAACTCGAGGAAAGTTTTATATAAGTGATAATATTATGGAGGGGAAAAAATCCCTTTATTTTTCACGTGCCCTTTCCCCTCGTCTACGCGATTCTGCGAGCGGTCTTCACTCGCAAAAACGCCATAATGGTTTATCTTTTCACCTGCGAAAAACATCACAATCAAATTGCCCAAAAAATAAAACAAATTAGATATTAATATCTTTTATTTCCTTCCTCGAATACAGGCTTGATAAAAAAAGTTTTAGAATCCAAGCGAAACTAATAATGTAATTATACTATGATGTAATATGTTTATTTTTCTGTCGGACAATAATTTTTCTTCCAAAATCTTGCTTTGATCATCGACGTGAGTGATGGTTTCTCATAGGAAATATTATCTAGTTAATGCATTTGGAAGAAATTATTTGATTCTCCTTGTTTCATGTTTAATAATTGGGAAAACCGGGAGAAAATTTTGGAAAAACAGGAAATTTTACGTAATAATGGTTTCTGTTATTTTAGATTTTTTTTTTTAACTGAAATGATTGTGAAATATTTATAGTAGCCTTGTCTAGATTTCTCACAGTTTCCAAAACATTCTGACAATTTTCAGTATTTTAGAAACACTTGAAATGTTCAAGTTTTTATTTAGTTTTATATGTATATCATTATTCCGGCTCATCAAAAAATGCTTGAAAATTTAATATAAGGTTCATCATAAGTTATATTTCAGTAAGCCCGAATTGAACTGGTGACTGAGAAAATCTCAGTGGGCAGCTCACAACTATATTTGTTTTCAATTTAATTTATATCAATATGATTTATTTTTCATAATTTTGGGCCGTTGGAAATCCTAAAAATAATTAGGCCAATATATTCCTAATCCGGCACTGTACTTATGGCACTATACATATATCGAACATTTTTATTTATAAATTAAATAAGTTTATGTATCCTATACGTACCAACCTAACATCCTACCTACAACAGTGACACACCTATTAAGCAGTATCGGCTCTGTTATTTTTTTGATAATTAAAAACAAAAAGTTGTTTTCACAAAATACAATAGTGATTTATAGAACATATTTTGGAAAAAAAATGTTGTTGTAACAAATATTTACTGATGATAATTCGTTAATTTTCTATAATTTTTTTAATTTTACAAAAATCATTAACAAAATAATTTTTCATGGAAAAATTGATCAACCATTGATATAATTTAGTAATAGGCGATGCAAGTTTTAAAAATGATTTTAAAACAATTTAAACTATCGTAAACTTCAAACATTCGTAGAAAATTAACTATTCGTCATTAGTAAATATATTTTGGAAAAACCAAAATTTTGTTTTAAAATACATTTATTAATTAGGTTTTTTGGATTTTATTAAACAAATTTGTTTAAAATTAAAATTGTTATTATTCGTTTTCAAAAATATTAATTAGATTCTAGATTTGTCAAATCTTCGTGTAATAACCTATTACGATTTAAAATAAGAGCAGAATATTGTTTTTTTTTTTTTTCATTATGCTTTATCGTGTTGTGTTTTTTTTGCAGTAATTGCAGTACAGATACACCTAAATTATACAAAATATTGAAAGGTAGATAAAAAATGCGCAATCGTGTTACACCCCGTCGCCCCTCTGCAGCAGTATCTGCGGGTGCAGTGTAATAATAACAAAACAATAATAATAATAATAATAATAAAAATAATAATAATAATAATAATAATAATAATAATAATAATAATGATAATAATGATAGTATAAACGAAATCAGCAGTGTCAAAGGAGGGCGATATTATATTATTTTGTACAGTTCGGGGGCACGTTGTCACGCTAAAGCCACCTATATACCTGTGTAATGTACAATATAGCAATTACTCTCGCGTTGTCGGCTCAAAACCGTAACGCACAAAGGCGATTGATCACCGGGTGAACGAGTGAGAGAGAGACGGAAGTTTATGCGGACGCAGTGGAAAACTCCCTTCCCCGCGTAGTCGCGGCGCTTTGACGCCTCTCCGTCCTCGCACATTAATTAACGCACAAAAGCCCGCGACGAGAGTAAGGAGGGAAACAGGGACTGTATAGATTTTCACCTTTGTCCTAGATTATACCGCCTACAACATCACTGCAGCAGCGTATAATAATATATACAGCCAACAAAATGCAATTTTAACAATGCAACAAACGAACCGTAATATTATATCATTATCCGACGGCACTATTATAATATTCATGTTATAATTTATTAGTATTGTTTTTCTCGCTTTTAATTATTACCGTACTGTATATATACGTAATGTAATATATTTCCCTCCCGCTTTCTACCGTCCTATTATCGTTATTATCTCGCCGTTATTATTATATTATTACTGCGAGACCTGCAATTACGCTATTTATTCTCGTATTATTAATATTATTAGGCGCGCAAGTATTTATGACGATGTCTTTGAGGAGATAGCTGCGCAAAATAATAATTTGATTGTTTTTTACCCAGTCGATTTTCTATTAGACGTACGGTGTTTGATTATTGTAAATTTACATACTCATACCGCGAGTTACAACCAAACCGAGAGATATTTTATAAATATTATAAAAGCACAACGTTACTATTAGAAATTTACTACACGTTATTTCTACGATTTATTTAAATACCTGTATTATTTTCAAGCATTCGATTCCGTCACAAGGATTACCAATAATTTTATTGGACTGCGTCTATACAGTTTTATAATATGTAAGTAAACGAAATCTGTTCACCCCAAAGTAGAATCGTCAAACCGGCTAATTTTTCTTTGATTTACGAGTCGTTTTATTGTTACAACTATACTTATGTAGTATATCATACATATATTCATTGTTTGGACGATTCCTTTTTAAAAAAAAAAAGCATTCCCATTCAATATCTTTATTTTCATAATTAATGCATTCTACATTTACATTTATACAAATTTGGAATCCCTTTTAAATGCATTGCATTTCAAAAGAAATTTGTTTATAAAAATATTGTAAATAAAACAAAGCTACAGGTTGTATTGGTATATTTGATATTATAGTATTATACTAAATTACTCTTAAATTTTATTGTATATTTTAAATCAATTATTTCTATAAAACGTTCGTAAACAACAAAAATAAATATAATGCATTTCCACGTTCTACGCATAATTACATTTTAATATACTTTAACGTAAATATGAATGTCAGTATTAAAGTGTAGTTGTATATAGTGTATAGTGTTATTCTCATTGTTTTATTATTTATTAATGTAATATAATTTTGTATAACAATCATAATATTGTAAAATGTTAAAAAATATAATAATTTTATACAAAATAAAAAATAAATTAATTGTTTTAAATTAAAAATATTAATAATAATATTATATACTGTCTATTCTTATAATATAACCATGCTATTACAAATATCAGTATTATAATAGGATCCAGTAAGTATAGCCGGCTGTATGGTTTTCAATATCGTATATAGGTAAAACATTTAACGGAAATTCAAAGATGAATACAACTTTTCGATAAAAACAATAAATTAAAAATTAAGAAATATGTTGTATATGCTATATTATAATAATATTATACAAACAAATAGTTTATAAAATAAATTCTATAATAATCACCCAAATGTTATAAAACACAATTTCTAATTTTAATAATCAATGTATATATATTTCAATATTTTCCTGTACGTTGCTTACCGAATATTAAACAACTAATAGGGAGTTTTGATTAAATAATTGTACAAAATAATAACACATCACTAATAAATAAAACACGATTAAAAAAAATCACTTAATCATCGCACATGACCTACACGTTTCTTAAATCTAAATATTATGTATGCAATTCGTGTCATGTAAATCGTAGGAAATGTAATATTATTATGAGTTAGGTATAATAATTAATCATATGGACACTCTGGCTTTGATTCGCATCCGTAGCATAAAGTACGCCGCCACTCTGGTGATCAATAGAGTGATGAGCAACGCGAACACGTCGGCGTAGAACTTGTCCGTGGGCATGGCAACTTCTTCCAAAAACTTTGCCGGGTATTTGTAATGACAATATAACGTGTAACACGGCAAAATGCCACGTTTATCGTATATGGCGGCCACCAGTGCTTCCAGACCGTATCGCAAGAAAGATATTTCCGTACCCCATTTTAACATATGCGGGATGTCACGGAGATTCACGCCAAACCCGCTAAACATCATCAACAGAACGACGATAATTGGGCCCACGAAGTTGCCGTTCTATAATAATAACAAACCGCCGACAAGTTGGATTATAATAACAATAATAATAATAATAATATGTTTAGGTACGCTCTCTCGCACGTCAAAACACTTTTAAGCTTTTCGCTAAATGTAATTATTTAACTGGATTTCATTGATAATAAAAATGTTTATACGAAAAGTGATAGATTAAATTCTAAACGTATTTGTGAACCGTGTTATTATGTACCAGTGAATGTTTTATAGGCATTTTTTTTTTTTTGATTTTGGTTTTTTTTTTATACATATATTATACAATTTAACAAAATTAAATTTTCGGGTATACCTATACAAGATATTTAACAATAATTCTTGAAATATTGTATGTAATAATATATTATAAATATTTCAAATTTTTAATAGTTAAATATTATGTAACTAACCATTCGAGGAAGGATCTAATAGTCGGTATTCAAAACCGATGATAAATTAATATTTTGTAGTTAGATTATGGTTAGATACTACAAAATACATTTTTTTTTTAATATCAATTAATCAATTAACATTTCACGATCAAATAGTATAGATTTTGCAGATATTTATGAATTGAAGCTAGATTCGGCTCACAAACTACTATATAACTATTATATAAAATAAATATTTAAATAATAAACTAAAATCTAAAATAATGTATGATATTTCTAAATTTCTGGTACTTACTATGACGCTGAACCAGGCACCAATAATGAAACCCAAACTTTGAGAAATTAGAACCATTAACCAACTAATGAACGTAAACATGGCAAATCTATCCCATTCCAATGGTTGTCCTGTCATTACATAAATTATCACTGAAAATATCAAACAACCAAGTGTCTAAAACAGAATAATAACGTTATTAATATATTTATTTTGTTTAGAAAATTAAACTATTAATTCTTTAGAATCTTACCGTGATAGGAATATCAAGTATATTCGTAGCAATATAATATGTTTTTAATGAATACCATCTATTAAAATGTTCTTTGGTCAGTATAGAAATTTCAGCGGGAACTTATATGAAAAATAATTGAATTATTATACATGTATTTACGTATAAATAAATTATATTTCAAACTTACAATTAATGATATTTAACATCAATGTTGACCCGACGTGATGCATTAAAATAGAGAATAGTAAGTTATAGTTATCAAATATTTTGTTACCATCATCGCCGATTTGTAAAAATAGTGTACCTAATAATAAACTTACTACTATATTAACACCAAATCGGAGATATGTCAAATCCTAGAGAAAAAAATTGAATTAATTATTAGCAATCTACATTTATGTGTTTAAAATTGTAATTGAGCCATACAATTAGATTTTAAAACAATATTTACTGTGTTAAACTAATAGTACATTTTATACAGAGGGATCAACATAACGTAAGATACTCATTACCTCGGAAAGTATTAACTTTTTTCGAATTTTGTATTTTAGAACATTTAAGAAATAAGTAGCTCTAAAATATAAAATTGCTCTTTTTTTGTCGCCCTTATTTTAGGGGGTAAAACAATTACCCACTTTTAATTTTCAAATAGCAACTTATATTAAAAAATTACATAAATAGATTTAATATTAGTTTAAATCAATATTACTGATGAAATTTTTAATTTCCGTCAACTCGTTAAAGAGATACTCCACTTTTAAATTTCAAAAGGGAGAAAGTAGTAATGCATAATTCGTGTAGCGTTTTAATAGTGTTCCACTACTTTCACACTACATAAAGATTTTTATTATAGGTTGTCTTTTAAAAAAAACAATATTATATAATAGTGTCACACTTTATAATAAGGGCGACAAAAAATAACCAAACTGTAATACTTTAGAGCTAATTATTTCTTATATGATCCAAAAATCAAAGTTCGAAAAAAGTAAATCCTTTCTGAAATAATTTTATCTTACGTAATGTCGATCACCTTGTATATTATAAATTATAATTTATAATTAATAATAATTTATAATCATGATTAAATATTCCTAGTGAATATTAACCAAAAATAAAACTAACTATCTGTGTCTATAGTTATTTTAAACAAATAATATAAAATAAATTGTTGAATTATATCTGTTAAAAAATATTGCATTACCTATACTCTATTCAATGTTAATAAATTAACATATTAATTAATAATATTAATTAACATATTAATTTAAATTTAATTTTAAATTTAACAAACCGGATCTCGTATGCACTTTAAATATCCTCGATGCAGCAAACATTTCAGTTGGTTACGAGAAGAAGTTTCGTGAACATCACATTTGTTTAAAGTTTTAGATGGTTTAGTACCTATTTTATAAAAAGTAATTTTCTATTATTTAATATTTACAAAAGTTTTTCTAACTGTAGAGTAAATCAAATTTAAAATTCGAATTTGTGTTTTTATATAAAAACCGTTAAATTAACAAATATTAAAACAACTGATACGTAGTAGATTTAGATATTCATCATATTATTTAATTCCTTTCTATATTTTTTAATGGTACCTGAATTTCTGTCACTGATAGCACGGAGATTTGACAATCCTGTCCAGATTATACATTGTCCATTATCTATTTCTTTTACCATTTTATCAATTTTGTCTTTTCCATGATCGCCGCAAGCCAATTCAATCACTATAGAGTATAAAGAAAGTATAATATTAAATTTAATAAATGTGCCGCTTTAACAAATGCTTTGTTGTTTTACCAAAATCAGCCGGATTGTGATAAATTGGACACGGTAATTCGAGCTTAGATAAAAATGGTATTAAATTGCTAGTAGATCCTTGATACAAACATGTTCCTTGCGCCAGAATATATACTTGATCGAACATCTGGAACAATGATGCACTGGGTTGATGAATCGTGCATATTATTGTTCTTCCCTGATGAGCTAATAATCTTAGGAGTGATATACATTGAGAACATGATGAACTATCTAAACCTCTATTTAAACAAATTAAAAAAAGTAAATACATTTGTAATATTAATTAGTTTATTATGGATCAAAATATTTTTAATATTCTTACGTCGTTGGTTCATCTAGGAACATAACCATCGGATTATTTATTAGTTCTAGAGCTATTGAAAGTCTCTTCTTTTGACCTCCAGACAGTCTTGCAGTTCTCGTGGCCACACATTTGTCAAGCCCCAAAGTTGATAAAATTTCATGCACCTATATACACAATTCAAATTGTAAACACTTGACCTCTAGTATACATATATTTTTCATTAATAAATGAAACTTAATACTATATACCACTGCATCTTTATATTTTTGAGATTTATCCTGAGAAAGTTTAAGATTCGCAGCAATATGCATGTTTTCATTTACGGTCAATAACGGTTGCAAACGATCATCTTGTTGAATGTAACACGATTGTCTTCGAAAACTGTCCAAACGTCTTTCTGCGCCATTTACAGTAACATTACCTCGGACACCCGTTAAACTTAAATAGACAAATAATTTTTAAGCATGACTTTTACACAGTGGATTATTAAAATATTCATTTTTAAATTACACACTTGTATCCGGATAAAACGTCCAAAAGCGAAGATTTCCCTGCTCCCGACGGACCCATAATGGCAACCAATTGATTTGGTGCAAAAATACCGCTAATATCCTTGAGTACATTTTTAGTACCTATAAATGATACAAAATGGTACAAAACTACGGATAAATTATTCCTTAAAGGACCTATTCTTTTATTTTGAAATAATTATAAGATAAAAAGTTTTAAAATTTCCAGCACAATACCAAATTTACGAATACAACTATCCAATTTATACCTGAACAAAAACAAAGAAATAGGAAATCTCTATTATTAATGAAATCACGATGTTTAAACTAACCGAGGTTATGTATAAATATCATTAAATACTGTATAAAATAAATTTAAATTTAAAATATAGCCTATACCTATAGGTAATTCTATCAAATTTAAGTAATTATAATAAATGTTTAATTATGAGTTATAACACTTATAATCATACTAATTTTTCATTTTTTTGCGAATATATACTGAAAATGAATCATGTTTACTAGTTTTTAATGCCATTTGTATTATTTCCAAATGACATTATTAATAATTTTGTATTTAATGTCAAAAAAATGCATACACGAATACACTGTAACAACCTCCTCAAGTGATGATGGGTTTGATTAGAAGGAAGGTATTAAAAGAAATATTCATTTGAATTTTTTTAAATAATTTTAAGACATTTAAAATTTAAAAAATCCATCCTAAAAAAAAAATTATAATAATAATAACAAAAGCCATTCATTTCGATTTAATATTTTCTTTCATCTGCTTAAGAATGTATTCAAAAACCATTAATATTTTAAATAATTTTCTAATAAAACCTCATTTACTTTTTGTATCTTGTTTTCTCTTAAAAACTTTTTTTATTGAAAAAAACCCCTGTATTATATTCCTAATTTTAAAGTTTAACTTTCTTTCATTAGACCCACAGTGTATTTTTAATTTAAATGTTTTCAATTTGTATTTTTCGCTATCTACCTATATAATATTTTAACAGTGCTATTAAAAATATTATATTATAAATCACATTTTATTTCAAAGAAAAAGGTGCTTCTTTTATCATATTTACTCAATTGTAAATTATGATTACTGAGAAAATGAAATTGAATTTTAATCAGTTTGTTGGAAAATGCAACTTGTTTTATTTTTTAGATATTTATGTAAAGGTAGTACTGTAGTAGATTGTAAGTAAATAAAATACAGAATATACAAACTAAATAAAGTATAAAAAATTATATAAAATAATAGTTTTAATAATTTAATATAATATAAAATCATTAAAATCTATACTCGTATATTATAATATACACTTTAAATTATAATTGTGCCACTATTGTATACAGGTTAGGTTATAATATCGTTTATGAATTACGTTCTAAATACAGTAAAACCTCTCTATAACGGACCCTCTATTAAACGGAATACTCCTTATAACGGAAAATGTCGATAGTCCCAGTGCAAATATATAAAATTGACCTCTCTAAGACGGAACCTCTATTAAACGGAAACGGACAGTTTTCGTAATCAAATTAGTAAAAACACTCTCTGTTAAACGGAAAATAAAATTATTTAAAGAAAAATTACAGGCTTTCATGGAAAATCATTTGACAGTATCGCTTTACGATTGTTATATTGGTTTGTTTATTACATACCTTCTAATGAACGTGTAGAAAAGATTAGATAACCTATGTACGTAATTTTGTATATATGAACAGCACAGTCGTCTTTTTTCTGTTGAATATTGAAAGATTATGGATGAATGGGTAAATAGCAAAAACTTGGGAAAGTGTAAAAGATTGAAAACTTCATTTGAATAAATTGACCAAAAGTTGTATGAGTGGTTTATCAGCGTTCAGTCAAAAAATTTACTAATTTCCGGTCTAATTTTACAAACAGAAGCTATGAAAACGGCAGAAAAAATGAATGTCAAAGATTTCAAGGCTTCGAATAATTGGTTGGAAAAATTTAAAAAAAGGCATGATATTGTTTGAAAACAAGTCAGTGGTGAGTCAAATGACGTTAATCAAGAAACAGTGGAGAAGTGGAAGTGAAAAATCTCGAGACATATTGCTGGATATGAAGCAAAAGACGTGTACAATACTGATGAAACAGGTCTTTTTTTTAAAGGTATTCCTACCGATTCACTAGTCCTGAAGAGTGAATCATGTTCTGGAGGAAAAAAAGCAAAGGATCGCTTAACAGTGATCATGTGTGGTAGTATAGCTGGAGAAATTAGAAAACCATTAGTAATTGGAAAGTCTAAAAAACCTCGGTGTTTTAAGAGCATAGACATTTCTTCATTACCTGTCATATGGAAATTTAATAAAAAAGCCTGGATGACCACAGAGATAATAGAGCAATGGTTGCGTTATTTTAACGCAAATATGCGATCTCAGAATGGAAATATCTTGATATTCTTAGATAATGCTGCATGTCACCCAAAGATCGAACTATATAATATGAAAATACTAATGCTGCCCCCCAATACCACATCAATGGTGATTGACCAACCAATGAATCAAGGAGTGATTTACACGTTCAAGTCTTACTATCGTAAGTTTTTGCTACAATCATTATTATGCATGATGGATAATTGTTCTTTAGCCCATCAGTTCGCTAAATCAATAAGTGTCTTGGATGCAGTCAACTGGATAGCGTTGGCTTGCGATAATGTAAAACCTAAATGTGTGAAAAATTGTTTTCGTAAAGCCGGGTTTCTTTCAAATGAAGGAACCAATATAGATTTACCAGAAAATACTTTGAAAGAAATCAATGAGGAGTGCGTTACAGCCGATGTTGATATAGAAGATTTCATTACATTTGACAATAAATTAGAAACGCATCAAACTTACGATTCGGCGTCTTTTTTAGAAGAAGAGGAAAAAGAAGAAGAAAATAATGATGATGATGACGGTGAGACCAACGATGAGCCAAAAATAAAAGATTTTAAAACCGCAATCTCATATTTAGAAGAATTACAAAAATTTTCCGCCACGATTCAAATTCAAATCTATTAGAACTTACAACTAAAACCCGAGAATGTGCTGAACGTGCTGCTCTTAATCACAAAAGGCAATCTAATATTAAAAACTATTTTTCTAAATTATAAAAAAGGTACAAATTTGTTACTATTTATGTAAAATGTTTTTTTTTTAGTTCTTAGTTTTAGTTCTTTAGTATTATACACAAACACATTTAAATATTAAGTCATTCATTATAATCTTACTATATAAATGCACGTTGTATGAAGTACATATTTCCTTAAAATATAATTTTTTAACACATACATACATACATACATACAGTCTTGAAACTTAATTTTTTTTTCTACCTCTCTATGACGGAAAACTCTGTATAACGGAAAAATGTTTGGTCCCAAACGATTCTGTTATAGAGAGGTTTTACTGTAATAAGAACACCAATATTTAGAAGTTATAATAAAATGATAGGCAATGTATATATGATAATTTAACAACTTAATATTATGATGCTACTGTATTTTATTTATTTTTTGTAAAAACCAAATAAATACTTACACAATTTTAGATTATAAGAAGAACAAGGAAGCTATTAGTTCTATATTGATATTTTATTTTTTAGTTCGAAAAATATTAAGCGACTAATCTTAAGTACCTAATAACTAAAAAATTTAAATTCTATTTATAAAATACAATTTATGAGCATTACAAAAAACCAATTGGTACTCAATATTTTACAGTCATTAACAAATGTATAAATAAAAAGAATTGATACTGCTGATTGATGGTTGTGTCATTTATATAGGTGGGAAGTTAGGACGGTTGTAAACATGGAATTTTTTCATTTATATCTGTATACGCAAAAATAAATCAATGGTAAAGAAATACGATTAAAAGCGATGGTATGTTTTGAAATAGCCTAATTTTTAAGATTTTCGTAACTTAAAATGTATATAAAAAATTACTACATTAGTTAAACTTTTTTTTTACAACTAAATACAAATTTAGTAAAACTTGTGTTTACTTATTAAATACTTCTGTTCGACCAATCTATCTAAAACCAACTAATAACTAATAATTAATAAATCAATAACCCAACAGTTTGTGCGTGAAAAAAAAACGCAAACTTATAACTAGACAATATATTAATTTAAAAAAATTATAAAATATATACAGTATTCGTTAAAATTTAATATTAAAACTCATACAAAAAAAAACTACATTACATTCAATTTTTTTTATCATTAGTACGACTTATTATGATCTCCCTTTTCATTTTTAAAGCGTTTTTGTTTAGTCTAACAATTTTATCCACAGAGTACTTACTAAATAGAAATTACGTAAAAAACTCGCAAAATTAAAATGTTTATAAATAGCTCAAAAATGCCTCAAATGTTTTTAAAATATTAACCCGTCTAGGAAAGGCAAATAAATGTTTTAAATCAAAATGTCAAGTCTTCGTATATTTTAAACTGAATCACAAAACAAAAATTAAATTGAAAAATAATGAAAACATTACTTCCGTAAATTGTCGATTTTGATACTGATTAATTGAGAAGAATTGCTCAATTAAAAAAAAATTTAGGGAAATCAAAAAACGACTTTCTTACTTGTCAATTAAATTAAAAACTCAACAAAAAATATCCCATGTTGTTGTATTGGAGCAATATTGCTGGTAGAAAACATCATGCGTACAAATTTAAAATAATGAAATTGTACACCATAAATTTGTTCTTTTTTTTTTCTGGTTTTCACAACTATTATGAAAATTACTTGGGAAATCAAAAAACGACTTTCTTCATGAACAACTCAACTAGATCCAAAATTCAACAAAAAATCCATTTGGCATAAAAATTAAAAATAATGAAATCAGTAACGCCACGGCATGCTGTAAATATTTGGCGTTTTTTGGATTATTATAATTAAAATCCCTCCGAAAATCAAAGAATGATCTCCTTAATGAACTTTAATAAAATTATCTTAGGTTTTGAATTTAAAATTATAAATTACCGAGTAATGTTAGATAAAATAAGAAACCCGTACCTAAGTCAAATAAATTGTATAGTCTATTAAAGTTGAATATAGAAACGAATTCTAGTTTAATTAAAAACATTTAATTTTGTTTAAAATACACATAAAAAAGGGTTAACATTTAAATTAATTGTAATCATACTTAGATAGGTCCAACAAACATAACCTGAATGAAATTCAGGGTCATTCAATTGAATAGGTGTAAGTTTTGTAATTCGATACATTGTAATGTAACATGATAAATGTATTTTTGTGCCTACATAATACATGTATAAAATAATTAATATTTCAAAAAAACGAATACAATTATAAGTACTTATTGATAATAAGTTTTTGGAGAGTTTCCAGTAGAAATTCAACATTAAAGTTATAAGTATATCTATAACGGCTATAACCTATCCTATAGTAATATATAACTATATAGTATATATATTCAATTCATATAACTATAATAATACATTATAAATATCATTATTAAAAGAAACATTTTTAGTTTAGGGGATTATTATAGAGTGATTACTTAGCTATAATAATCCTAATCCTGTTGTCAAGGACTCGAGGTTGTGACGTATAAATAATAGCATATAGTATATAGCAATAAGAAAAATACTCTCACAGGTTTCCATGATTCTATCATCACATCCTTTTTAAAAACTAATTTGACATAGAGTTGTAACAATTATTTTTAAAATAAACTAAAATCTTGATTAATTAAAGAGATTTTTAGCGATAAAAGTCTAAAAAACGTATACACTACGAATTAAACCATAGATTTCACTATTAAATAATAGTTCTAAACTATAATTAGAAGATTATTATTATTTTTTTTTTTTTAATTAGTGTCAAAAAATTATAAATTCAAACTTTTATGTAATTTAGTGTTAAAAATTATTATAATAAACATAATTTGTTAAAATGTATTTCTTGGTAAAAATAATTCTCATTAAAATATGTTTAAAATTAAATATAAAGGTTATTTTTAACGAATATAAATGCAAAATGAAACAAACAAATTACACAACCCACACAATATTATCCACCGAAATTTTACCAAAATGGTTCAAAGGTATATGCTGGACTACACGAAACATTCTCTCTAACAGTAATCTCAATAGGTAGATACGTAAAATAAATAGTTAACGGATTTTTACAAGTTGTTAAAATTTACAATTAATATTCTCAAAGTCTAACATGATTTAGTCTATAAAATTATCCGATTGTTTTTTGTTGGTATAAGGAAAACTTCTATTCGGTAATGTAACCAAAAAATAAAATAAACCGGTAAAAATTAGTCATATCCAAGGTTCAGATATATAAACATTGGCATACTACGCTGGCATATATGACTTATAAAGCCATTTTGCTAATTTAATTATTTAACTTTGATTTTCAAAACACATCAAAAAAGTTATATTCGCTTATTATCAACGATCTTATCGGAAAATTCGGTTAGTTTCTAATAATAATTTGGGTATTTTAAAATCATGTTAGTAACATCCTTAATTTAATTTCAGAACAATTTTTTTAAAATTGTTTTTAAATTTAATTCAATGGGCAAAAGAATTCTTATCCGCAAAAAAATAGGATTACTTTACCAGACATATAGGTACGAAGTTTTTCCCTATAAAGCGTGTTTTTGAACAAAAAAAAAACAGGTTTTACTAGCCCCAAAAAGAAAAAAATCAAAATATCCTCGCTCTTTTCAAAATCTAAAATTAATACAATTTAAAAAAAGTCGAACTGAAGTACTAAAATAGAAGTATATTTTAAGTACTTATATACAGAAAAATTATATTTCAAATTTATCCATAAATTTGTTCTGTATAATACGAAATGACAATTTCAATAATTATACTTACATAAATACATACGTGAAATGAAAAAATGATGTTATAATATGACTCACCTTTTCCAAATCCAAGTGAAACAGTATAGTACAGGTTGTTAAATCTTAGCTCGACTTGATCTTGTTGCCTGTCTTTGATGAACAACCCTTGTGGCTGACATTCTTTGTTTGAAAAATTTGTCGACTCCATAGACTCGTAGCTATAACACAAATAGGACGTATACCATAGTTTTACTAAAATACACAATGAATACGAAAACTTTAAATCCGTTAAATCACTGAATCAGCTTTTAAAACATTTAAAACTATTTAATTATTTTACAAAGTGTTAAAAAGTCGAATATTTGTATAGTTTGCGTATTTATAAACTACATGTATACAGAACATGGATTTGTATACTAACACGAGTCGTGGTTCTATATCAGGTCCCCCACCTAGTAGTCTACAAAATATTCATTAGTGCCAGCTGCTGTACGTACGATAAAAAAGTTTGGGTTCCTTTGAAATGACCTGGGTATACGGACAAAGAAATACTTATCACCATAATGGGTCTATTATAAGGACACAAAAAACGTTTGATTTCGTTTAACAGTTTACGAGCATACAGAGTGTTTCAAATATAAAAATACTAACTAAATCAAACGTTTTATTAAAATTATAAAATGCACTATATCGAATAAAATGGTTTTTGTTTAATATTCTGTATTTTAAAGTTTTTTAACGTTTGGAAAAAAATGACTTAAATTTAAGTAGATATACGTAAATTGTAAATTTAGTCAGGTAATTAAACCACTATGTACGTAATTTAAAGTTCAAAGTAATATAAACTTACTTATAATTTATTGTTAAATATATCAATAGTAAGAATAAATTATTGTTATTATTGATATGTTATTATCAATAATATACTCTTATTAATAGTATCAAAATATGTATCATGACAAATGCACACGGGAGTCATAATTTTCTATCTCTGATTAACATAAAAGAGAATGCCAAGATAATCGTATGGTAGGTATAAATAATTTATACGATAACGGTGAATTAAGTGAATTAGGGGGTACAATATATATAGTTATATAAAGTTATAATATTTAATTTATATAAATAATTAACGTTAACTATTATAATATCCACGTAAATGAAGCAGATTTTTTTGTTCAAGCAATTGTTTTTTCATTCGATGCTTTATATTTAAGTAAATCATAATAGAAAAAAATTTTAAAAAATATTATAATAATAATACTAAAAAATATTTACAAAACAAGTATCAGTCCTTCAGCCCAAAGTGCTATACAAAGTATCTGACGATAAAAAAAGGTTAAAATCTGTAAAAATTAATTTACAACATAATTACTTTTAAGAAAGTATGTACAATTAATATAATGTCGTAAATTATTATTGAAACTTTATTTTTATTGTCCGATATTATGTAGGTGATAATATATAAATAAAAAATAATAAACAATAAAATGGCGTAGAATACATTGGATTTAACTATATAGCTGTATTGCACACTTGTTATTCGCAGTTTAATAATGCAATATAATCGTCATAAAAACCGTACATCGAAGTATACAATAAGTACATTATACAAAACAACTATAAAAAAGATACGGACATACTTAGCACGATGGGCAGAACATTGTTTTAGGTGAGAAGTTGGGACGGTAAGATAGGTAGAGAAAAGGTATAGGGGAATTTAATGTATATCTGTACGCAACAATTAATCTTTGCTAACGAAAAACGATTCTGAGCGGATTTCGGTTGTACTTGTTTTAAAAGGCCGTAATATTAACGATTTTAAAATAATATACTTCGTAATTTTCTCCGTTTTTCCTACGTTTTTTCCATTTATTATGAAAATCCCTAGGAAAATAAAAAAAAAATCATTCTAGTAAAATTTCTTTTCAGAAAAGTGATTATACTTCAAAACCGGAGCAAAATTTCTGGCAAAAAAAGTTTTTCAAAGGAAATAAAAATAAACATCATTGTAAAATCAATACATTTTTCGCTCCACTCAGAAACTAAAATACCTAATGAAAAACTTATTTTTTTGTACAATATTATCCAAATCGGTCAAAATAATGATTATAATACATAAACAAAACAAAGTGAAACATTATGTAGATAGATAGATATATTACACGCATTATACATACCTACGGTATAATAAAATATTAAAGAGATACATCTTACATATTTTATTATTTTTAAGATTTTATTGATAACAAATTAACGTCTTAACCTTTAACTTAAATTTTGAACAATAACGCATTTAAATCGATTTTCTTGAAAAATGATTCAATTTACGGTTGTCTAAACATCAAAATACTTAAGAATATTTTGTTATAAAAATTTTTTAAAAATTAATCATGATTACGTCTAATAATATTATTAAGGTTTCAAATATAAAAACAACGACCAAATCTAATTCATTGTCCGTTAATTATTTTTTTTTTGAATAGTATAAATTGGTGTAATCAATATTTTTTATTCGATATTATTCAAGTATATTCGTACACTTCTGTAAAATATATTTTATAGGTAATTTGCATAAGTATCATCAAATAATATTGATAATATTGTAAGGTATAGCATATTACAAAACTAACCAAATTTATTATGGTTGTAAATAACTTTTAACTATTTATTGTTAATTTCACTAAAATGTAAGTTATGTTGGATTAATAAAAATATGATATTTACAGAATTCATTTACTCCGCGGACTTTAATTAGGTAATTGAATATGATTTGAATTATTGTTTTTAGTATTATTATGCAATATACATAAATGTATAATTAATATTAAATGAATATCATATAAACTATTGTCTAAGTGATGAAATCAAAATTACAAATAGTATTTATTGTTTTTCTTGGACTTATTACCTAAGTTATAATACATTTGCGTGTACAGTTTGAAGTTCGAAAACGCCCCAAGAGTTAAATTCCACGAGGTCTCTTGAACAATTATAAAAATATTAAATTGTGTATTGCAGAATAATCAAAATTATTTAACTCATTAAAAACGTTAACATGTCAACAATGTGAATTTCAGATGATTTATTGTTGGTATTTAAATATTAAATAATATGTATTCATTTATAATACCTATGAGGATTGCGATCTCTAAAAATAGCACGTTTAGGTAACAATAATCAATAGTCATATACAATAATCAAAATATTAGAAATTATACAAATTATAATATGAAATTAACCGTTATATTATGAAATAATTATTTAAAATATTATATTGTGTATAAATAAAGTTTTTTTTAATTTATCTATATTAATTTAAGTTGATAAATCTCAGGACAATATTTTTCATCTATAGTCTTAGAACTATAGGAACACGGTTGGGCATCTACCGCGATACCGTAAATATTGATTAAATAATATTTACAAAACGAATTTAATTTTCTTTGTCGTAGTCTCAATATAGCTTTGTGGTATCACTCAATTGTTTATTTGATATTCTTTTATCTTTTTACTCATTGTTATACTATATTTGTTTCAGTTTGCATAATATATATTTATTATACTATAACAAAAAATTATATTTTTACTATTAAAAAACTAATATTCAAAAATAAATATGTTTGTACAAAATTACAAGATAATCTGATACGTAAAAAACTTATATGAACTTAACTAAACTTATAAGTTATTGGGATCAACCCTCAAACTTTGAAGTCTTCTAAGTCAAACTTAGAAGTTAAAATTGTAATGTTTTTATAATATTTCCTACATTACCATATATAAGGTAGCATTTATATTTGGTTTATGGTTTTTCCATAGTAGTGTGAATTCTTTTAAAACTACTAATAAAAGGGTAATCAAACTGTATTTTTAACCATCTGGGATCTGAGTCTATTTATTAAAATCGATAAAATGAGAATATTGTGAATAAGGAACTTTTAGACAATTTCTGCTAAAATTATTTTTAAAAACATACAAATTTAAACACCAATTTTATTTATATACCTATTTTTTATATCGTATAAAATCTTAATAGGTACCTAAGATAAAACTCTTGTTAAATCTAAAAATATTAATTCATACAGATCTTTTATAAATTTTAATACAGTATGCTAATAGTAATAAGTAATAACATAATATATTGTGTAACAATAATAATTTATTACTATTATTACCAATAGTGTAAACGGAGGTTATTGGGAATTATAATCCCCCCCCCCGAAAGTCAAGTTTTTGACATTTTAATTTAAAATTGCTTCGAAATTTCCAATAGATATTTTTTCAAAAAAATTGTAGTACTTTATTTGAAACATTTGTCTATATTTTCAGCAATTCACCCCCTGTAGAATTGTTTTATTATTTGATTTCTGGTTTACCTTAGCAAAAAGGGAAAAACTGCAAAACTACAATTAATACTACATTAATATTCCAATGAAAATCGTTTTTACATTTGCTAATATTTATCGTTACATACAGTATATAAACTCAATTAACCTTTTTATCCTATTCCTTTCCAACTATCCACTAGCAATAGTGGCCCGTGAACAGTCACAACTTTTTTTAAAATGCATAAACCCCCCCCTAAAAAATAAATCTCAAATGTGCCACTGTCTGCTAGTTTTTACTAGTAAACAGATAGACAATCATAATGATAATTTTTTCTTTTATTATTTCATTAATTCTTAAATTAAGAGCAAATATTACATTTTTCACTCGGTAGGTAATTATATTTTAATAAAATACATACCTTAAAAATATATAATTATAATAGTTATTTATCTAATGATAATATTATATACAATAGAAGTTAAAACATACCTAGCCACCTAGGTATTTTTATAATGAGGGCCTTTATATATCAATAAGTTATAAAATACAAAATCAATTATATACGAGAATAACCTTGTATTTTGAATGTTACAAAAAATTAAATGTACTATTAGTTAAACTATTTATCAATATCCATCATTATTTATTTATTAGTTTATAACTAAAAATATTATTTAAGTGTCATATTTTTATAACAAATGATTTACCTAATACCTTCTTACAGAAAAAGTATATTATTTTTTAATAAATTATTATTGTTTGTGTTAAAATCGGTTAAATCATTTGTTTATACATATTTTTTTGTTGTGTGTTTACATTTACGAGTTAGTATATTATGTTATGTATATGTTATTCGTATTGTCTTTATTCTTTACTACTAAATGAATAGTAAATATATTTCACTATTTTAAATGATTCAAATATAAATAAAAGAACACTAGGTACCTAGTTATTTTTGTAATATACGTATTAAATGTAGACTGTACAGTGTACATACAGAGACAGATGTATAGGTGAAAACATCTCCAAAAATAAATATATACTAATTATCTATATATTATACTAATCAATGCCTATACCTATTTACATATCTTTTTATCTTTTTAATAAAATAGTACCTATACCTATATCAAATTATCAATGAAAATTATTATTATCTGTGAACTTACATAATAATATATTCAAATATTCAATATATTTAAAACATTATAACATTGCACAGGTGAAATGTATTAGACTTAATGTATTAGATTGATTATAGTACCTATATCTTATCTATCGATTTAGTATATTTATACATACAAAAAAAAAGAAGAAAATGTATTGTAGGATAAAGTAAATGCATAGAATATTCCTAACCGAATTCATGATAAATCATGAATTTGTGAATCATGAATAAATAAATTTATCATATTTGATTTAATTTATCTACTGTAAATATTTAGGTACCATGGGATTTTTATGAACAAAATTGAACAAAAATGTATTTTGAAAAGTAATAATAATTAGTATTTAAATAACGTATTCTTCAATTAATCGAATATTGTGTACATAAATAATATATACAAATACTGGGTATATATAATTTATTTACCCTCTAGTAGTACGTTTGTATACTTTCGTTAGTATAACTTTTTATTATAATTACTTTTTTTTAAGTTTGTGTTAATTGAAAAAAAAATACGTTATATATTATCAATTCTTAACATAGATATAAGCAAAAAAAATGGCACGCATGAATTGTATAATAAACTCTAAAAGTTTCAACATAATCAACGCTTTTTCCTTTTGATTTTTATTTAATAAAAGTTGCACGCTATTATTATTACTTTTTTTTTTACGAAATCATTGCACGAATAAATTTAAATAAAGTATAAAACTTTTACAACAGTGAAACGAACCCGATAGTTAAACCTACATATTGTAAATTAAATTTTAAAAAAAAAATCTAGTATTGTACATAGCTAAGGAACTAATAATGGTGTTAAAAATGTCTTGTATAGTTATAGATAATAATGACAAAAATAAAACAAGCGTTTGAACATTTAGAAATTATACCAACAACAGTAATTAATTCATTATAATAATTGTATAGATGTTATTTATTTCAATGCAATTTTACCTTGTTTATATTAAACTATATGCAGTTGTCCGTAATCAATATTATGCTGAAAAATTATTGATGCATCAACGTGTAAATTATGTGGTTTTTACTTCTGATTCGACATATAAGTACAGTGTCAGCAAGCTACTGATGGGTATGTAAACGATGATGTCGGTTTATTACAATTGAATATACTAAAACAAAACATAGGATTACACTAATAATGTTAGAAACAATTTTAATCTAAACCCCGTTGAATTTTGACCTCTGAATGTATATTATTATCGCGAGACGCGTTTCCCACTCATCGCCAACCAAGACGCACCATCGGCATATAATTCTAATAGGTATATTATTTTGTGAGTAGGTGTTTAGTAACAATTATACAATGTTGGATTACAACAAAATATTTCGTTAACATTATTCTATACTGAAATTTTACAGTAAGAATTACACATTTTCCTCTTTTTTTCTTTTCTTTTTTTTTTATTTAAACTAAAATTCCGTGTTTTACTTTATTCTCTATATTATTATGTATTATATAATTTCCAATCGCTGTATTTATTTAAAATAAAATATACGTTTAATAATATACTATACAATATCTTATCTAATAATAATTAAATAAATTGATGTTTCTGTGCATTAACAGAGTAATCAACTAAGAATTTATTGTGACAGGACGATGAATCTGAGGGGTCCCACTCATTTATCGTTATAGTACCTATACTGTTCTTACATATACCTTGCTTAAAACAATGTTTGAGTACTTTTTTCCGGGGCTTTTAAATAAATGTTTCGAATCAATGTATATTTTTAAGATTTAGCAAAAATAATGTCATGCACAACTGCGAAATTGTTTTTCAATCGAGCCTACAAATAATTATGTCTAAAAAGATATACATACATACACAATGTACCTATAACTTTGGTCACACTAAACATCAAATCATAATTCTTGCTGATCTTTTAGGATCGCATTATATTATTAAAATATATAGTATAGGAAATAAAATAATTAGCATAAACATTAAAACGAACAAATTATAAGACTAATCGTTATTAATTATTATAGATAGATAAAATTAATGATCTGTGTTTATTCGCTTTTCAATGGCAGTTCCCTTTACAAAACTCGTATATGTAACTAATGTCGACTATCAGTAATAATGTTGAGGATACAGAAACGACCGGTACTCCTTTCGCCTTTTGATGGCGATATAATAAAATTAATATCTACATAATTAAGTAGAACAACGAAAAATAATACGAAGATTTGTAATAATTTTTCAAAATTATCGTCATTAACTCAATTGAAAAAAAACACTCGAAAGCTCCGTCACTGTAATAATATAATACAACATAACACTATTAATATTACAATAAATTAAACTACTTACAAAAAAAATTCTACAAATTGATCATGAAAATAATAGGGACTGGGATTGAAAGTTTAAACCCCCAAAAGGCTTATTCTTACTACTAACGCTATGGATATACACAATTTCATCTCCTCTTAATTTTATTTGGAAAGTCTGTAGGGATGAGCAAAAGTAAAAACTATTTTCATAAAAATATGGTGAAATTCTAATTCAATATCAAAATTCAATCCAAATGTTATCACTTCAATCCGCTTATTAAACAACTCTAATTCCCGAGTTTAAGCACATGTGGCCAAAAGTGTGGCGTTAGAAATGTTTATAAGTAGCTGTCTAAATATATATACCTATTATATATACTAGATAAGTATATATTATAACCGACACAATAGTTTCCATTTTCGGGGAAAATTAAACAAAACAAATTTTTAAAAAAATCAGACCATTTCCGATAGGTATCTATTTCCATATGTAATAATAATAAAAGGCCAGATCCGTATGTCTGTCTATAAATAATATTTGAATCACAAATTGTGGCGTTAAGATTGTATTCGAAGTTTAAATACAAATATCTAACAACATACAAAGAAGAGAATATTTTCAATGACGTTTCATGCTTTCACATAGCTAGTTTTAAAATTTTATTTTGCATAGGTGTGTATATTTCGAGTTTTTTTTTTTTATTTTTGGACATATTCATTCCATTTTATACTTTTAGAAGCATATTTTAAATAATTCGTCATCTTACCAATATTTTTTCCGTTGACATTTTTAATTCATCTTGCACACAACCAAAATATTTTTGAATTTAAAATTATTAAATTTTCATTGTATATTATAATATTATGGTTGTTTTATAATCATATACTATGGGTTTTCCGTGAAACACGTCTCGAGGGTCGCCGGTTAGATTAGTTTTATTTTTTAAAACCAGAAGAAGAATTTTCAAGAAATTAAATTTTATTAACAATTTTGTAAAAAAACGATGTGTATATTTTTAAATAAATTACTTTAAGAAAAATATAAGAACATATTTTTACTGTACATTATAGGATTTTTAAGTGCATAAGTGCTTGCATATTTAGTGCTTTTTTTAGAGCTACGCGTTCTCTGCCTTAGTAATAACGATCGTTTTAAATAACATTAACAATACGGCATAATAACTTTGCAGGTGGAAGAAACGTTTGATTTCATTCAAATTCGCGTGAAGTAAAACGTTTTCGCCGCATAGATTCGCAGCATTCGGATGCAACACTAGCCGTTTTAAACATTCCAACGGTCGTTATAAACCGCGTGTATGACGGCCGACACACAACCAGTATAACAATAATAATATTGTCACCGTACACAGAATGTTTTTTTGGGTGGGGTTTTGTTTATAATAATTTCCTAGAAAGAGGATAGCACACAATATTATCAGTCCAGTACTATGACTATTATTATTACAGAATAAATTGATTTCGATGAAATTCAATTTTATTTTATTCTGTGGCATACGATATTATGTTGTTGAATGTGAAATTTGATTTGAAAAAATGTATCGAAGGGAGACATTTCGGAGGGGGTTATGACCCTCTACGCCCCCCCCCCTCTCTGTGTACGCTACTGACCGTGCATATCATATATATATATATATATGTATTAATACGTATATTTTGTTAAACAAAAACGGATCGTACTGTCTCGAATTCTATTGCAAACATGATAAAGGAAAAGGTGGGCCGTACACTCTTCTCGGGCTAGAACCGCGAGAAACGCATAATAATTATTTTGATCCGTTTCTCGTCGCTCTCTCCCGTCCGCCCCAACAACAATATTAGGTAGGTACCTACCCACCCACCCGCCGCATAATGTTATACGTGTACGCGGTTTTCGGGCGGTTCTCCCGTTTCGCAGCCGCCACAGTGCACTCCGTTTAAACGAAACGATAATATTATTACAGTAATCGTAATACGCGACGGCGGCGGTAGACATGGCATAATAACGGAAAAGTAGGTCTTATTATACAAACGAAAACTATGATATAATACGGATACAGATGTACACGCACAATGCACGTATGTATATGTACAATAGGTAGACGGGCGTACGACTCGTACAGTATGTGTGTACGCGTATTGTATCTCTCGAGTTTAATCCTAAAAGGGACGGGTTAAACGTCGTCATAATATTATATGCCCGTGTACGCTACGCATAAATATTATGTGCACCGGATATGTATGATATCGTTACGCGCACATATTATTGTACGGCGCCCGTGTTATAAATACGCACAACATTAGAATTCGTCGGTGTTTATTATTACAACAAGTTCTTGGACGCCGCTTTTGGTGATCTAAAATAAGCGTATTGTATCGTTACACGGTTGTTTGTTATATTTGAATTTGCATATTATACATTATTTGTGCGTACAGTTCAGTGGCGTGATTAAAGAAAGTGCTTGGTGCGCGGCGGTGCGCTCGTACACCCCACGCGCTCGTGTTCGGCGGGTCCAGAGACATTATGTATTTGCACCCGCTGAAGCAGAACTGCCGTTAGAAAAATAAATGCAAAAACGTATTTCAATTGCTTTATTGAATTTGTACACCTAACGAAAGACTGATATTGCCAACGTACGTTTTAGTCATAAAATTGAAAGAGAGATTGTGTAGATTCATTTTATTTTTATCTGTACGCAACGGTTGATCTTTGGTTTACGATTCTCAGCAGAGTTCGGTTATACAAATTTAAAAGGCTGTAATATTTACGATTTTCATCGAGATTTGATATTAAAATTCACATAAAAAAAATAATATATATTACATTAAACTCGACTTTTTCTTGTTGACCACTGAGTACAACTTATAATGAATCTCATGTTGAACTGTCAAGCATTTTTATTTGGTCTTATAGCTTTATCCACAGAGTACCTACCGAATAAATATTACACATTAGTATATAAAGTAAAAAAACTCGTAAAAACTCGCTTAAAAATGGTTCAAATGTTTTGAAAATTATATCACGTCTATAAAAGGCAAATATAAGGTTTCTATCAAAATTTCAAATCTCTACGAATATATTTCACTGAATTACAATAATAATAAAAAAAAAAAAAACAAAATTGAAAATAACAAAAGCATTATTTGTGTAAATTTTCCTGTTTTTCCTACATTTTTTCCCATTTATTATGGAAACCCCTGGGAAAATTAAAAAATGACCACTTAAAAATACAACTCCAGGAAAATTTCATTTCAAAAAAAAATATTACACTTGAAAATCGAAGCAAGATTTCTGATAGAATTTATGTACACAGTAAAAAAAAAAATGAAAAAATAAACATTTTTGTAAAACCAATACATTCTTCGCTACACACAGAATCTAAAATAACTGATACTGTTGACGGGTGCAGCTAATTTTGTGGGTGGGAAGTTGGAAAGGTAGGATACATATAGTTATTTAATTTATACCTATCTGTACAAAACGATAAACCATTGCTAACGAAAAACGATTCGGAGCGAAATTCGGTAAGATATATTTTTAAATGCTGTAATTTTTACGATTTTCGTCAAAATTTGATCTTACACTCATGAAAAACAAACTAAGGCATAAAACTCAAATCAGGCTCAAAATGACTAGAATGTTAGAGTTTTGGTGTTAATAAAGATTCGAGTGCAGCGAAAAAATGTTTACAGTCAACAAATTGAAGAAATTAACCGTTAAAATAGTATTGATCCGAAAAATAATAGGTGTTGTAGTAGTTAATTTTCTAAGATTTTTCAATTTCGAATTTGCAAACAGTATAGGTAACGTTTTAATCATTAACGGTCAAAAGTAGTGTAACTATTGTTGTAACTTGTAACTATATATAGTTTACAGTCTACAGAACTATTATTTCGTTACTATAGAAATGATTAAAACGAAAATTCTAAAAAAAGCTTGTAAGTAAGGTACCTACTGTTCACCTTAAATATAATCTAACCGTTTTAACCTGATACTCAACTATTTTAAATACAAACCTATATTTAGTAGAAAAAACGGTCTGTTCTAAACAAAGTTATATTATCTAAATTATGCTTATGTCTTAATAGTACCGAGACATTTTAAAATTAATTTTTAAACGTAATTTTGATAACATTACATTATTATGTCATTAACTTACCGTTTAATCTACATACTATTAATATAATACAATACTACCAGTTTTAAACTATTATTTTAGACTTTTAACAGATAATATTAATATTTATAGGTTTAAATCTTTATAACGAGTTTATCAATTATTACGGTTTTCAATTATTATTTAAATGATATTAGGTAATTACTTATCAATGTTACACGAATGAAAAATTAAACACCGTCAGGGTAATATTAATTATATCCGGGTAATGTCGACACCCGATATTATACATCCTATAGTTACGTCATTTATTATTTGATAACGATGCAAATATATTTTGTTTGCAACCGTCTGTTATACTATATATATTGTATTATAATATAAATAAACTTGCGAGTAAAAAATAATAGCAAGTATAATAATTATTAGTTTATTGGTAAGTATCTACAATAGTTTTACATAAAATAAAAAAATGGTTGATAACTTTGAGAAAAAAACCATTCTTAACGGTATTTATACTACATCATTTCAATGTGGTCATTGTATTACCCAACTATGTTTACTCATACAGTTATATATATGTATTAATATTATTGTATAATGTGTATAGTTGAATACCTCGATTAAATCGAAATGTTTATTAAATCTAGGTAGCCAACTGTATTACTGTTTCACATTTTATATTACGATTGTGTGAATGTGTATTTGCGAAGGCCATAGTATACACACGACTGATGAAACTATCATTAAATATACAGAAAAACAAGTTAGTTTAAATCGCATTTACACAATTTTAGTATACCTAAAAGTTTTTCAAAATAATAATAAATACTGAATATTCAGAGTTTTGTGCTTATACCTATTGTAATTCTACATAATACACGTAGGTCGGTTTACATATTTTTCTCTCGCTTACGAAAGTCAGCGGGGTTAGCCTCGCGCATCGTCGACCTATATATTATAACAAAATTGAAAAAAATGTAAATACCTATAAAATTACGACTTTTATAATATTGTATTTTGATAATAATATACTCGTGCATCGTTATTATAATATAAACAAAATATATTACTTCATATTAGGTACATACCTAATAACTTATAAACGTAAAACATAATATGCAATAATAAAATTACATTGCATGTTTATTGCCAATAGAAACGCCACCAGCGAGATTATTGTATCTACACTTGCAGGTAAGACATTGGAACATGACAATTGACTTTTTAAATCCATAATCTACAGTAGGTATATTATCATTCGTTCCATTATTTCTATAGATTTTAATTCTTATTCAATAATAGATAATACTGTGGCGATGTTTTACAATAAACATATAGGTACCTAGGTACTATAATATATTTATAGGTATTAGCCATTACAAATTGCTCGTGTATACTGTATACAGTATACACGAGCAATTTGTAAAAATACTATGATGTAACATAAATCCTATGGAAAAAATTGCACATTACTATACATTAGATATATTAATAAATAATTAAATGTTATCAATAGAAACAGCCAAAGGATATCTGTAATAATATTACTTATATATTTGAAATAGGTATTATGGTGTAAAAAAAAAATTGATTTTATTACATTATATTATAGATTTACGACTTCGACAATAACTAGATTCAGAAAAATTCAAAAATATAATAAAACATGTAAAAACAAGAAAATTGATATCGAACATTCATATTAAAATTGTTTAATATGAAAAAAAACAAAAAAGAAACTGTTACGACTGATAGATGTGCCTTTATTTCATAATATGTGGGAAATCGGAAAGGTAAGCCATCGCTAACGAAATACGACTCGACGTTTTTTCCATGATTAAAATCTAATGAGAGAACCAAACAACCATATATGCAGTGAAGCCATGTTTTGGCAGGTTTCGAACGATTTTGATTGGTCTGATTGGTCTAACACTCTGACCCAGGTCATCGTTATTGCCGTAAACTTCCCGTATTCTTAAGTTTTTTCCCAATTATTAGCCTTATTATTATTTTCCTTCACTGCAAACTACAAAAAAAAAACCGAAAACACCATTGCACCAATCAGTTATAATTTGCTTTCAGAAAATATGCTACACAATAAAATCAAAGCTATATTATTGGTCGACAAATTTTTTACTGATGGGGGAAAAAATTATTCCACGTTTATATAGTGGATTAATATAGCGTTCCCTTGTTAGAATTGAGTGAATTTCAATACGATTTTTCAAGAGATTAATTTAATAGTGTGAGTATGTTTTCATTTATTACATTTATTTTTTTCGTGTATTTTGTATTTTAAAATAGATTTTTAAAGGAATTGTATTATGACATTTTTCCGAGTATGTACATTTTTATCATTTTAAAGTTTAAAGCTCCCTAATCTAAATCAAAATACTGTCTCTATATTTATATTACTAAAATATAAACCGATGGGGCCTTGATTTCGACTCCCCAACGATTTTTACTGGGGGAGTCGATTTCGTAGCGGAGTCGAAAATTTTTTCAAATTCGACTCCTATTTTTTTTGACTTCCTGATGGAAAGTCGATATCTCTTGATTTATTTCGACTATTTTCTTTTTACAAATTTCCCTAACGCTCATTAATTTTGTTCTACTAGTTTTGTACATTTTTTTACTATTTTTACTATTTTAATTAAATAGTTTATTATCTTGTATATTTTTTTCACTAACGAAAATAAAATTCCTCATAGGTAGGTACTATTGTAATTAATTTTAATTAAATATTACATGTTTATATGATTTTATAAATATTTTACATTACTAAATAATTATATTATTATGATTCATGACCTTTCTTTAATACGATTATTAAAATAAGTCGTATTTTTACGATAGGTACTATTTTAATTACTTTTTTTTTCTGTTTCAGTTTTAACGTGTCAATTTAGTCCCTGTATAAATACGATAATTTATTCTATGTATTTCTCATTCTGACTTAGATTCAAAGAATGTATTGATTTTACAATGGTGTTTATTTTATTTTATCTTTTTCTGTGAACACCTTTTCCACCCAAAAAAATTATATGCCTTATCAATTTGTAGAATGTAATTACTCTAAATTTTAATATACAATTACATACAAATTATAACAAATTACAAAATATAAAATTGAGGAAAAAGTCATCAGTAACATATTATAATATTTGTATTATAAATTATAGTATAGGTCTATACTTATTTATAATTACTAAATGAGGTATGATATTAGGTTTACATTTGACTAAAAAATTGTTTAAAAATGTTAAAACAAGTTTCAATGGCCTTCACGTATAGTTACAAATTATAATACAATTCTACAATAAATGAAAATAAAAAAAAAATTAACAAAAATTAAAAATGAAGTAAACATAATTTGTTTTAATATAAAATAATATAAGTACCTACCTACCAATTATATTGTAATATTATTATGCATATAATACTATAGTATTAGTTCTTTTTTCATATTTTTGTTTTAATTGTCATAAGAACATCTTAATGTAATAAACCTTATATCAAATTTTCGAGCATTTTTAAAAAGCCTTAAAAATGGTATACAAATAAACCAAATGAACTCAAAAACTCGAAAATTTAAAATTTCTTTAAATAACTAAAAAAAAAAACCAATCACTCGGAAACTCCTCGCTACACTTTACATTCGAGCGCATACCTACCTATAAGATATTCATATGGGTACCTATTTATTTATTTTATAATTTAGGCAATTGTGTTCTAAACTAAAATTACACGTGTAATTTTTCATAGAGGCAACTGAGAAAGTCTGAATTGTGACTGTTTACGATTTTATTTTATTTTATACATTTTAGTTTAAATACATTTTGGTGTCTACCCGTTGACGAGATGTTTCATTTTTAAATTTGAGTAGGGGCGAGTAGAAGAGCACTTTTCAAATGTCACGCACTACGCCGTCGCACAAATTATGCTCCACTACTCTCCCATCAACCCAAACTTCAGAGTGGATTACCTCGTCAACGGATTGACAGAAACTAAAATTATCATAACCAAAATGTATTTAAACTAAAACTTCATAGATTTTCCTAATTTCTAGTAAAAATTGTTTGAAAATCAAAAGTGGATTAAAAATAAAGGTGAACTAAATTTGGACAATGTAACATTTATCGAACATATGATTCCGAAAAGTTTTTAAAAATTGTATTATCGAAAATGTGACTGTAACATGAAATTCAGAATACCCCGTATGGAGAGCTCAGTTCAATTATTTTTGAAAATTAATGAATTCTCAGGAAACACCAAGCACATCATCCACACTACCTATGCCTGCAATATCATCTTGTGACTGTATTTGAATTTTATTGAAAATCAAAAATAAAATACATATATTTTCAAAAAAAGTTATCAAATGGTATTAAACATTTAACAGTGGGGCATATATATTTTTTTTTTCATCTCTGCGTGTTTAACTCGTATACATTATATATATATATATATATACGATGTACATCCTTTTAATGCAGATTTATGATGACTATTATAATAATATAATTATATTAATATAATTTCCGCGTTATAACAAAGTTCGATTTAAATTCTATAGCGTCCACAGATCAAAAAATCGTAATGTATAGGTGTAATAAATATAATTATTCACAACAATAAATAGAAAAAAAAAAGTTGTTAGCATGAGTATTTTACATTTTAAAATGACGCAGGTATAAATACCAGTATGCCTATTAACAGATGAAAATAAATTAAATATGTTACAGAATGTAATTAATTTATGAAATGATTATGATTTACGCGCATTAAAAAAAATTATTGCCAATATAGATATCCTTAGTACCTACTACACGTACCTATAACATTGAGATATTTCGACGTATTATATTATTGCATTTAGTTAAGTAAATATTGATTTTTTTGATATATTTATAAACGCGAAACATTAAAATATAATTGAAAATCGTGTATAGGTACACATTATAAATATACGTTGGTACATTAAGTACTATATAGTCGTGATACGGATTTTTCATTTAGAGATAAATGCAGTAATAAATAATAGACGTTATTAAAAAAAAATAAAAATAAAATTAAAAAAAGATGGGTAGGTAGTTAAATAAGTATACTGTCGCAAGAGTAAAAAACTTACGCACATTGTTTCATAGTATGCAATATCCAAACTCCGTGAGACGCAACGATCCTAATTATTTTGTTTTGATTTTCACGTACACAAACATACACAAGTAATGCATACGCGTGCGTAATAACAAACCGACGTACGATCACGGCCGCTAAGAAACAAGTAATGCATATTGAGAATAAAATATATTTGCAGCGTAGGTACTGATTTCTCGTGGTATACACCAGCGGATACTACATAGTGTGACGATGACGATCTTTCACTATAGGTATTGGTGGGTATCTGGTATACCTACCTGTAGCAATGGTCCTTGATCTTCACGTAATCACGGTTTCCGTTCACCGGGCTGTCGTATCCGGAAATAATATACTCAAAAATATACTATTACATAAATAGGTACAAAAACAGTATATAATACTTAATAAATTATATTATCTAAGATTTTAAAAGACTCCATATATCAGGGGCGTCGTTTTAATTTTTTTATTAATGTGGCCAAAATTTTTGTAGACCATTTCAAATCATTACTAGGCTACAATTATGGACACTTTTTGTTGTTGGGAGAGGTGGTCAAGTGGGGACATACCCAGGGCCTGATATAAAGAAACAGAGGCTTTATGCACAACACATTTTTTGGGGCCCTATTGGAATTAAAAAAAAAATCAGAAAAAATTAAAATCAAAAAATTGTTTATACATTTAAGAGGTGGATTATAATATCCAATTAAAATCACATTTTTTTTAAAGTTAATTTCTCTAAGCATTTTTATCCTTGTAATTTTTTTTTTGCAAATTCACCAATAATGTTTTCGAACGATTGATGGCCGGCAACGGTAAAAAAATTACTTAGTTTTCTTTTAGTTGAAGAAAAACGTATTCGAATTTTTAATAGTTTTTTATAATTCAATTATAATACTTCGCACGTAGATGCAGCCACTTTTTTTGTAGGAGGGAAATTGAGAAGGTAGGATATAGACGGGAATTTAATGTACATCTGTAAGCAACGATTAACCATTGTTAACAAAAAAACGATTCTGAGCGGAGGTCGGCTGAAAGTGTTGCTTTGTCAACAATATATGTCATATTATGGTAAAATAATTGTGTATGCATTAAACATTTTCTTTAATAATATTTGTACCTATTTTTCCGTTCTCCTGATTTTCCCATGGTTTTTCTCGGTATTTCCCATTTATATTAGGAGAACTCTTGGAAAAATCAAAAGATGACCACTCAAACGTACCTCCTCAGTCAAATTTCCTTTCAGAAAAAGTGCTATCATTGTAAATCGAAGCACAATTACTGGTAGAAAAGTTGTTCACGGTAAAAAAAAAAAAAGACAGTAATATTTTTTAACTAATACTTACATTGAAGTAATGTACGAAATGTACATTCTGTCTGCTATCAAAAAGGAATAATCACCAACTACGATTAAATATATTTTTATTAAGTAAGATTAAGTCTTAGAGCAATAAGAATATTCTTATTACTGTAAGGCAGTGTTCCCCAAATTGTAGTCCACGACCCCTAGGGGTCCACATGTATACAGGGGGGGGGGATCCGTGAATGTAAGTTGAAAATATTATATAGTATATATAAAAACTAAAATACTGATGTATAACAGGGTTAAAGACGGCGGGAAAGTTCTGCGACTATCTGTAAGGGGTTCGATAGGAAAAAAGTTTGGTGAACGTTGCTCTAAGGATTAAGTATATATTATCTTTTATCATTTTACCCATACAATATACATACATAATACAGTAATGGATAGGAAATTACCTATTAAGCCATTTAAGTTTTGGGGTCCAATATGATAGGAAATTGAGACTGTTTTTTTACCCTATATATAGGTACTATAAATAATATGATCATCACTGTGACAAAATAATGTACCTATACAGAGTACACATGCCTCAATTTGATCATTCTGAATCATGTCTTCATTAATAAGCCATCATGTTTTATTCATACAGTAATACTAATATGAAATAAAATTAATTAGTTACTTTATGGTCCTATCCATTATTTTTTATCTATATACCCATAATTACGGATGATCCAAATTCTTATAGATATTTCCAATATCTTGGTCCATGATTATAATATATTATCAAATGTTTATTCGTGATTTGTGATTATAACAAACAAATCAATCTGCTATTTATATGTTGAATTTAGCATTTAAAATATTCTTATCTATGATATGTTACTTAAAAATATCAAAAATTTACAATTATGCAGCTATAAAATGTTACATTGCAATTGAGTATTGTTTCCTACTTTTGATTTTCAAATGGTAACCTATATTAAAAATTCCATACATAAATAGAGTATTAGTGGTGATTAGAGTTTAATATGAACACTGTATTTTAATAAAAAAAAAAGCTTAAACAGTGGCATACCAATGGTAGGATTTTGGGATCCCCGCTGACATTTCTGAAAAGTATCAATTTTCCTGATATTTTTTTTTTTGGTCAATAATTTGTTCGTGATCAAATTCTTTAATGTAAATAACTCCAAAAAATTTTGGTCTAGGTGTACCACCAAACTGACATGTACTATTTATGGGAGACATAAAACAATTATTTTAATATATTTAACAAAAAAATCTTAATATTTTGTAAAATAAAATACTATTCTAGTAAAACTTTGACAATTCTTCATGATTTTGAAAGTATTTTTAAACCAAAGAAAACAACAAAACACTCAACTTCTTAAATACTTAATCATTTACAAATGATTAATGGAAACGGAAATAAGGTATTATCTTTTGATATTAATTAGTTAAAGTCAATTGACACAATAAACTTAAATTTATTAAACACAAAATAATCTTGTAGGATAAATATTCAGAATAAATTAAATCACTTCAAAAATAAATCAAAATCTTCTTGTTCTAATTGTAATGTTGAATCTGATGTTTTTAATGGATTTCCAAATTCATCCATCCAGTACCAAACCTTATTAGTACTACAACATTCCCTGTTAAATAAATATTTAAAATTATAACTTCAGTTATATATTTTTAGCAGGAGGAATTTTTACCTAAAAGGAGCATATGCTGCTACAGGATTCCCTTCTTCATATATAGCTTTCATTGTTGGATGGCCATAGTACATTGTATTATAAGTACGAGATAATGCCCTAACCCATGGATCTATAATTAATAATTAATAATGAAAAACAAGTGACAATTTAAAAAATATATAATTATATTAATATTAATATTAATAAATGCATTACTTAATGTTGCTTTGATAAATAATATTCCAGATGCACAACAATATTTATTACTATCCAGCATGAACATCTTAACAGGTTTACGATGAGACTTGGACCATCTGAGATCAATTTTATCAAATATATCTTTAATATTTTCTAAATATATAGGTTCCTTTACTCTAATTTTTATTTGTTCTGACTGAATTTTATTCATGGACTTGGCAAATTCCTTACAATACTCAACCCTGGATCAATAATATAACAATATAATAATAACCATTTGATAAATAAATTACAAAAGTTACCTCGATAAATAATGTTCATTACTAATGTCAATGTTACCAAGTTTATATGCATCTATAATATGCAATACTCGTACTCTAAGTTGCCCTAAGTTTTCACCTTCTATTTCAGTAGCAAGTTCACCATAAACAAGTGTACCAGGGCTCATTGTAACATTTTTTAAATATTCATTACTGACCCATTGATTTTGAACTAATTCATATACTTGACTTCCACCTAAACCTGTAACATTAAAAATCAGTTAATAATTAATTATTTAATTAAACAACATTTAATAGTTGGAACATACTTAAAAAAAAAGTAGGAGGTTTAGAAATATTGAGTAAAACACAATGCCAATCATATACAGATTTAACATATTTTTGTAAACTGTTTTTGTTTAAGACTTCTAGAGATGACTGTAAGAAATCTAAATAAAGTAAAATATTATTTAAAGTGAAAAATAATTCATAAAAATATGATTACTCTTTGATCCAGCAACAATAGAATTACAAAAATCTTGAGGATCACTTCTAAAAGGTGCACGTCTTACACCGTCTTTAACTTCCCATAGTTCTAAACATTTTTTTTTTAGGTCTTTTTGTCTTTCATCAGCTAAACGTTGATCTTTAGTATAAGCTACAATCTTTGACAAACCTAATGATTGAATTTGTCCTAATCTAAATAAAATACACATTTCAAGATTAAATCTATTATAATAAATATTTGGTAATAAGGAAGAAATACATAGTTGATGGCATTTATTTATTTTTTTTTTTTATAATTATTTTCTCTCAATTGCATAAGTGTATGTATTTTTAAAATTAGTATATGAAGAGTATTATTTTATGTATAAATATATATTTTTTCAAAATTTAATTTGCTTTTATTGAAAACTATACAAAATTGACTTAATTCCCACTTCTTTGGAGATAAAAATATATAACATACAAAACTAAATAAAATATTAATATAACTTTACTTACTTATTATTAGAATCCCATAGATATTTAAAAAAATATGAATCTTTGAGAATAATTTGCAATGGAACAATTGATAAAATATCTTCTTTTGATTCTAATCCATCCCAAGTTAAATTTACATTAAATAAATATTTTTTTATGTCTTGTATATCATCTAATCTCCATTTACAAATCACATATCTATACATACATTTTTTTTTTAAATTTAAAAATTAAATTACTTAAATTCATTATCATCAAATAACCTTTCAGAGTTTGCTGGTCGACTTGTAACTGGTTTATAAATACTAATTTGTTTAAAACAATGATATAAAAGGAACAATAATCCAGCACTAAATTCAGTAAATATATCAAATACTTTGCACATGAAATGTCCATCAGGGCGCAGAATACTCAAGGCAGCCAAAACTTGACATAAATACAGTCGTTTAGACAAAATCTCCTGAAAACTTTCTTGACCTTCAACAGAAAACCCCTAAAAACAGTAATAAAGTAAATTAAAGATGGCAAATAACTATAATATTAAAGTTAATTCTTACACCATCAGCCATAACAAAATGAACACCCTCTCCCTCAGTCATCTTCATAACATAATTTTCTAATGAGACAATGTTTTTTGGTTTATATACATCACCACTATTATCATCACCTAAATTATAAAATAGTTATTTTACTAAAAATAATATTTTTTTATTAACTGCCTATCTACATATATACATATATATTCTAAAAAAATGTTTATTTTTTAGAAGTTTATTAAAATTAATATAATAAGTCATTCATAAACGAGATAAGATATTGATTACAATAAGTGGTATTCATTTAATTTAAACAATATATACAAAATATTAAATATCTACAAATTGAAACATATTTTGCAGTTAAATGAATTATACTTTCTATATTCAATCAAATATAATAGGGAGTTATTATTTTTCATAGTAATTTTTACCTTATAGGTTTCAAAATTGTTAAGAAAATATTAATAACAAATCAGAATGAAGAAGACTCAAATCAAAAAATCATTATTGATTATAAGTATAACTAAATAAAATGGAATTGAACAAGATTTAGTAATTCATTGTAATCTTATTTACACCAAATATTTACATTATATTATAATCAATACACAATATAATGAATGAAATTACTGTTCCCTAGAAAAGCTCATGATAAAATCTAAAATTAAAAATATTTTGGTTCCCTCAATAAGTTTTTTTGGTCAAAATTCTTGCGACATAACAAATTTTTACAATTTTTTTGCTTAATATTACTAATTTTTAATTTATATTAAAATAAGATACACGTCTGCTAGTGTATTATGAATCAATAAAAAGTACATAACTGTTATAACTAATAAAAATAAATGGCTTGCCATTACTCAGTTTTTCTAGTACTATTCTAGTATTCTAGTATTATCGATATTCAGATAAGATAAAATGTCAATAAATGTATAATACAAAAATTTTTCAAAAATATGCTTTATATAACTATTTATTATGTAATAATTCAGTTTCGTTGCTATGTCAAAAGCGACTGCATGCTCAAAAACGTTTTGCATTTCATACCTATTGTGATTTTACTGTATACATATAAATATATATATTATATATATAATATATGTGTAAAAATATTATTCAATGAAAATTAATATGTGTTTAAAATGTGTTAATTTAAATTTTGTTAAAACAAAATTTGTTGGTTTATGCCTTTGGTATACCAAATTTATTTTTTTTTGGTCTCTTGAAATTTGTTATATCGCAAGCTGGCTGTATATATGTAACATTTTTTTTGAAATATAAGAGATATCATATTATTGAACAAGTTGTGACCTTAGTTACTATTTTTTAAAATGTTTTGTCAGTAAAGAATAAATACAAATTAACAAATTTAAGACTATTTGGTTAATAATTTACAAGGACATGCTTTTAAAAAAAATATAATAATAAATACTTATTTTATTAGACATATTTATAATTTCGTTAAAATATTTAAATTCAAATTATATTAAGTAGATTTGTAAGGTAAAAAGGTATGGTAACAGTATATAAATATTTTACACATCTCAATATATACGTAAGACTATTTGAGTAAATGATTAAATCACTGATGGTTTATTAAATTCATTGTTATATAATAATTACCATAAAAAGCTTCAAATGACTCAGGAGAACCAGCAAAAAAATCATTTAATTTGAAATCATTTGCATTACGTAATGTAAATCCAACACCTTTGGCTTTCCAACTTTTTCGCCACAGCACATACTCAGAAAATCCACCTGGTCCAGCACAAATATCAGCAAAGTAAAGTAAACTACTAGGTCTTGATAACATAGATGACTAAAATTATATTGAATAATATTAATACAAAATAAATGTTATCAATCAATAATATATTATATACATCATCACTATATTTAGGATCAGTGAACATAAAATCGCATGCCCAATCGATATTGGCCATTTTCATTGCAGCTCGGTTTTGGAATATACCATTTTTGATTGTCTCAAATGGATTTGCTTTAGCTCTAGCATGACGAAAATCATGATCATTAATATTATCCAAAACATTCTATAAAAAGTAAATTAAATTATAATTAAAAAAAAGTAAGCTATTATAAAAAGTGTAAAAATTTACCTTGCTAGAATTAACTACTTTGAAAATTTCTGAATCTGCAAACTCAGTGGTTTGATTGTAAGTCAATTTTTTTTCACCAGTTTGAATCCAATCAATCATATCTTCAAATGAAAATATCAATGGATTTTCATTTTCTAACCATTCCGTAACTTTTAAAATGTCTGTAGACTTAATTTTAAAAGTTTAAAAAAAAAGTTATTTTCTTCAGTTTTAAAATTTATATTTACTTCTTCTTGTTCGGGATCCCAATCCAAAACGAATGATTCTCTAGGTTCTCGTGATGCAAAACCCAAACCTCTACGACCTTTTTGAGTAGGTAACTGTACTGGATCAACCAATCCTTGTGCATTTTTCCCTAGTCCTTCACCTTCTTTATAACCAATTTTTTTCTAGAAATAAAAAGATATATGTATAATTATGTTATTTCTCATTAAAAGTGTAATAGTTATAAATCAATTTAAATTTATTTTTATTTTTTTTGGGGGTGGGGGCCTGTTGCCACTAGGACTATCCCGTCTTACAATCAATTCTCGATCTATCTCTATTCATTAGCAAAACCTTCTAGTTTGGTCAGCCTACAAATCCTTCAACTTTACTCTTAACTGTATCTTCCCATCTCATTTAAATAGTTACCATTAAAGACATTCCTTTGTTGCCACTTTTTTCAGTATTTTCTACATTTTGTTTAGTTATTGAAAGTGAGTCATCCGATATATTTGAATCGGAATCAAGTGATTTGGAACAAGAAGCACCATCAAACTTATCTCCCTTTAATCGTTTACTATAGTTTGAAAAACAGTTATTACTGTCACTATCTGAACTATCTTCAGACGATAAATGTTTTCTTTTATGATTATATTCTAATAAAAACAAAAGAATTATTGAAAAGTGAATAAATGTAACTAGAAGTTTTATTTAAATATATAAATACCTGATTTAGCATCACTTTTCATAAATGCAACTGGATTGTTCAAGTATGATTTTTCATGATTATTAGGAGCATAATTATTAGCATACTTAATATCTCTAGCGTCGATTTGTAAGGTTTCATTTTGCTATAAACCAAAATGTAATGCGTATTAATAATTTGTTAATAAATATTATGAATAATATAATAATTTACTTTAAATGATTTTTGACTGTTGGAATGTAAAGATTTTTTTTTAAAAGTTTTTTTTTTTTGTTTTTTACTTTTAAAAACATCAGCAACATATGGAAGATCTTCTTGACTTTCATCTTTAGTATAGAATTTTGATGTAGCTCGATCATCAACTTGATGGGTTTTTAATTTTTTATGTTTATGTTCATATGTCTCCTCATCAGATGAAGATACTACACTACTGTCAGACAAATTTGCCCTATAACATAAATTTATTATGAGTTTAAATGAAAACAATTTTTATGTAGGTAGGTACCTACTTACATTGTATGGAATTATTTTAAATGTATATTACATGAACTATTAAGGGTATTATTATGTATATAGTTGTATGATTAACAAAACTACACACAATTTAAGATAGATTAAATTAAACTTTAAATAAGGCACAAGTATTATATTTTGAATTGCTTAGTATTAATTTTTTTATATGTACGTAGATTAAAATAATAAAATTTAAAAAGATAACATTAACACAGTATTGCAAATTATCGTACAACTGGGCAACTTGGACTCGAGAGTTATTAATTACATAGACGTATAATATTAAATTATACGTTTATGGTTATTTGGAGCAGAAATATCGTTTTTACTTTTGGTTATTGGTACAATTGTAGTAATCACTTTATAATCACGTTTGATAAGAATTTTTTAATTCAACAACATTTGACACGTTAAATTTTTGAGCATGTGTAAAAACATTACAAATTATTTCAATGGCACTTTGTGACTGTTTATATAAGTTATAATTTGTCAAAAAAAACTACTAGAAACTTTTTTTGATTCTTCTTGTGTAAAAGACGATTTTATTTTTTAGCTGTAACTTTGAGCGTTCAACATAATTTAGAGTTTATATTTAATAAAATAATATTAAACTAGGAATTTAGTATACAATTTTAAATTAAAGTACATATTAAAGTATAGATCAAGAGATAACTTATATGAATACTGGCTCCATAAAATAATACATTTACTGAGATATTTAATATCAGTTCAAAACTGCCTCAAGTTACTCACTTTTATGGTACCAATAAAAAAAAGCTAATTGTAAATATTTACATTGTAAAATCCACAACTTGCTGAATCCAATAAACAAAATAAGTCACTGAAATGTTCCGTGATAATAATTACTATATTCTAATAGAATTATTTGAACTTTATAATATTCTCTTCTTTGTTTTAAATTATATTTATTGTGTTTAAACATTTAAACATAGCATAGTCATGGCAAACTCGAGTTTTATTTAATTTAGTTTGTAACATAAACCAGCACTTTTAATAATCATAAAAAAAAAAAAAACAAAACTTTAAATAACAATTACTGAAATCACTAAAGCAACTTTTGTAAAATAAATTATATCTAGGATTACATTATTATGTACAGCTCTATGTTTTCCAAACTCCTAATTTGCCTATCTTAGAACAGAGTTAGAAACTTAGGTACTTAGTACTTGAAAAAAATACAGACCCAACTTAATTTCTTCTTTTAATTCCAAGAAACTAAACATTTATAGAACACAAAAATAGAATTACTTTGAACTAGGTTCCAAAATTATAAAACTTTATTTTATGTATGTATAATATGTATTCATAGGTGATTTTTATAATGAAAAATACTCGCCTTAAGTTTCTAGTTGAGAAATAGATAAATACAATTAGGTATCAAATTTTACAATACCTCTACAAATAGCATAGCTCGAGCAGCCGCCCTCAACTAAGTTATCACCTTGCCCCCTCCTCTAATGAGAGAATTGTTTTTTTAGTGGTGATGTTTTTAATCACAGCTATAATAGTTTATAAGCAATAACATAAAATAGTACTTACATTTTTAAATCACCCCCCCCCTCTTGATTAACTTTTATTTAGGACATTGACCTCTATTGTTTTCACTCTTATATTTAATGGTAAAACTACAAACAAAATTTTGATTTTCAAATAGCAACCTATGTTAAAAATTCCATCAATTGACAAAGTTTTAATTGTTATTAATGATGATGAACCACTTCTAAGTTTAGATTTTTTGTAGTCAAAGGTAAGGAAGGTGCAGTGAAGTATAATTTGTGTGAAGCTTCCAGATTGCACAAATACAATATTTTATTACTCAAAAGATATGTAATTGACTGATAATAAAATATAAAGGATGGTTAATCAGAGAATAATCATAATTCATAGATAATTAATTAATAATAATACTCTGGAAACTCATTTCTACTTGCATATAGCTAGAATATTATATTCACAAATTACAGTTTAATTTGGCTTACACAAAATAATAATCAACCATTTTGATAAATTTCAAACAAATGAAATATAATTAGCTTGTAAATTGTACAATGTGATATACTTTTATGTTAATATAATTGAAAGTGTAAAATATACAATTAGAGGAAAAAAGAAATTAAAATTTGTTAATTCTTAACATTACATAATAGTATAAACCTAAAACTACTTATCTTATTAAATATTTGTCAACACCAAAGTACAAAAAAAATCCCTACTAACAGTTAAATGGACTAACAAATATTATGAAATTTAAATGTTATTAAAAAATTGATAAACTAACTGTGATTATAAAGTATAAATTATAATTCATTAAAAATAATAATATAATTAGAATTCCATTATACAAAAATGTCTAATCTAGTTAAAAATATTATTACATAAGTTTTTTTTTTTTTATGAGTTACGGATACCCAATTGATGTTCAAGTTCTGCTCGTTTTTGTTGAACTTTTGAATAAAAATAACGATTAACAGCTTCCTGAGTCCATGGTTGGTAGTAAAATTCTGCTCTCCTTTCTTCTTCTGGATTACCAACTACATCCGTCATTGTCTAAAACAAAAATTAACTTAAGCTGTTTAGTTTTATTTTATAGTAATAAAAATAGTGATAAGTTATAATTATTTTTAAACAAAAATTTTGAACTATTTATTTCAATAAGAAAATTAAGTCCATATGTGTACCAATTCAAATATGTATTAATTAGTATGCATATGGGTGCTATGGATATTAACTAAACTAAGTAATTAAGTGTGCATTGAAATTAAGAAGATCTGAACACCTGCCACAGTGTAAATTAATTTGTATAAATACCTTTAAATCTCTGGTTTGTGAAATTATCCATTTATATATAAATTGCTGAGGATCTTTAGCAAAACTCAAAAAGAATTCTCTATTTGTCTTTAATTGGTTAATTGTTTCAACTGTTTCGTGAATTTTATTATCCAGACTCTAAATAATAAATCAAAACAATCATATAATATATTATGTACAAGAAGAGAATATTGTATTGATTACCTGTATTTCTTGCTGACTGGCAGTAGACAACAAGAAATTATTCATTTGTGCTTTCAAAGTATCATCAACTTCAACATCAATATCATAGCATGCAGTTTGTTTTTGCTCAACACCCTCAACACTTCAAAATTAAATTATTTATTTATTAAAAATTAAAAATCAACAAATATAAAAAATATCAAATGATACCTTATAATATGATTAATAACAATAGGATCTGGAGGATGAAGTAAAGTATTCAGTCTTTGTGGAACTTCCGCAAATTTCATACGAGAACAATTAAATATTTGTTCTAAATACTTGTCACAGTTAATATACTCTTTCTCGTGTGAATCCTAAAAACAAAATTATATTTGAAAATATTCACATACATGTGTATATACAGGATGGTTCACTAAGAGTGTTTACCCCATTTTTTTGGTTAAATATTGCATACGTTTAAATTCTGGTTTCTGTAAATTTTAAGTGTAGTTAATGTTGATATTTTATATTTATATTTTTCACGGCATTTTAGGAGTATCTTGTAGCAATATCAACTTTGATTTTCCAAATGAAAAACGTTATTAAAAATTCTATAAATAGGTGGAGTATTACTTCAAATAAATTTTGGTGTTAAAATTTTTGATTTCCGTCAACTCGTTAACGAGATTTTTCACTATTAAGTTTAGGTAGAGGAGAGTAGTGGATTATCATTTGTGTGGTGGCACCGTGCAGTGTTTTATTATCTCCCTCTCCAAATTATAGTATCCTGTATTGGTACAGGATACTCTTAAAATGTTGTGAAAAATCTAAGTATTCAAAAATATTGATATTAACTACACTTAAAAATTCTAAAAATCAGAATTTAAATATATGAAAAATTTAACCCAAAAAATGAGGTAAACACGCTTAATGAATCATCCTGTATATATTAGTATATATGAAATATTTTACTTGGAGCTTATGAGTTTTTATAAATTGCCATAAAGCACTTATAATGACTGGTCTAGTTTGAGTATGAACTCCCAAAAGTCTAGCTAAACGTTGATCCAATTTAAATTGCAATGGTTGGTAATCAAGAAGCAATAAAATAGTACAGCGTACATTTTTGTCTCCAGGTCGTTTTACCTTAAAAAGAAATAATAAATTAAACAAGATAAATTAAATAGACAAATATTAGATAAATACCTGAAATCCATCAGTTTCCTGAGTAGTTGCAGTACGATGCCATTCCACTAAATGATTATCAGGTCCATATAGGTCTTTGTCAAGTTCAATTACCAGTGACTTAAAGAAAGAAGAAAATTTTCTTTTTATCTGAAAATAAAATTAAGAAAATTTCAAAAAAAAATTAGTAAAAAAAATTAGTTAAGTACCTTATTAGGCTCATTTTTGGAATCTTCTAATAAACGCCCTTCAACTCTTAATTCCCAAGAAGCAACACTTCCTTCTTCATTTTCTCCAGGTTCTTTAGCAGGATAAAAAGTATTTGATATAAAAATCCGTAATTTGCGTTTTTGTTTCATAGGGCGTTTTAACGCTTCCTATAATAATAAACATATCAAAATTAATTTATATATGCATAGGTATTTTTGGAAAATATTACTTGTATATCTAATCGTTTTCTCATAATAGTTGAATCTAGTTTTCTTTCAAAAGCTAAGAGATCCATGTATGCCTGTGATTCCGGGACAAGATCTCTTACTTTTTGAGGCAATATTTTATCTGCCAATTTTTTCTTCTTTTTGCTCATATTAATATTGCTATTTTGAGATTGTATATTGTGTGGAAAATCACTGTAAAAATAATTGTAAAATATTTGATATTACAGAACTACTATAGCTGCAAGGAATATATTAATTAATTTTTTTTTATATTTATTACATTTATAAATGTTAGCTGCAAAGCATCAATACAATAATTAAGTATTGAGCAGTATTAATGGGTAGCGTTTAAATAAGATTTCAGCAACCTGTTTAAGAAATCACAAGTCAAGTCAACTATAAATTCATATTAATAAATATGATTTTCATTATGTAGGTATATTTTAGTTTTAGATCATAAATTTAAAAAAAAACACAACATCTCATTGTTTTATATACATATTTAAAATATTTTGAATGGTTAGTCAGATAAACTAATATAAACTTAAAGTTTAAATATTTAATGTCTTTCCTGAAATTATTATAAAAATAATATTTAACTAATACTATCTCTTTTAACTATAAAGCATATACAAATTATCCTCCAGCAATTGAATATTAATATTTTTATTTATTTTTTTTTTGCGCAAGGCATCAAATACTGGTAACTATACAATTATAACTAGAAATACAAGTATACCTAACAAAAAAAATAAAATAAAATATGGTAGTGTTAGTATATGTTAAATAGATATTTTTAGTTGCCCAATACTAGGCCACATTATTTGGTTTCTAATTGGCGAGCCAGATTTTTTTTACGTTTAATTTTACGTTTAAGTTAAATTATGTTATTATTTAAAATAAATACCCTTTAACCATAGGTGGTGGATTACGATTATCAGCAGGTCGTTTGCCAGGTGTGGTTTGGGTCGGTACCATCGGACCAGCACCATGCCGCATAGGACTAAAACCTTGAGATGGAGATCCACGTGCACCCATCATAGCATTAGGCGGTCCACCTTGAGGCATAGGACCTCCTTGCTGGTACATACCAGGTCTTTGCTGCATCTATAACAGAATGTAAAAAATAAACTGTAAAAGTTATTAATGAGGGAATAAACTTACTGGATAAGTTTGATTTGGATATTGACCAAATCTGTTTTGAACATTCGGATTAGTTGGAGTAGGTGGAAAATTTGACATTTCAGAAAATTTAATCCGATAACTAATAAAAAATTAAACCGTTTATATTAGGATTTGAGTAAATGAGTTAACAACTTAATGGAATTAAAACATTTGAAACATGTAGACTAAAGATGTAAACAAACACTAATTTATGTTATCATTACATCGTTATACAAATACATAACCACAAACACAAAATTGGTTTTTCGGTTACCTTGGTATAATATTGATATCCTTGTTCATACGGGTCGAGTTCTATGATATGGATATATTATCATGTTGTTGAGCCCATAAACATATATTCTGTCGGCATACCGTGGTCCGAAGATAACAAATAAATAAAAGATAGTAACAAATAGTAATCATTATTCAGTATTTCTCTGTTCATGGTTGTGTTTAGTCTTACGTTATCTTTTTACCTATGCCAAATATAAACAATATTAAACTCGGATTTTGAACTCGAACTTGATTCTATAATTTTGTTTAAACACATTAGTAAAATTAGGAACCTTTTAGTATTTAAAATTTTAAAGTCTAGTTTGAATTTTTAAATTACCATTATGGCGTATTCTACAAGTGTAAATATAAGTATTGAAACACAAGCTGAAAATATAATACAAGAAATTTCATATGATGGACAAGAAATCTATCAACCGTAAGTATTCATACTCACTCAGTTTTTGAAAATGTTTATTTTATAATACGAAAATTATTTTTATAGAGCGTTATCTATGTCTGATAACTTGTCAAAGCTTGCACAAAAAATTGACTTTAGTAAAGTTGATGAAGACTGTGAAGAGCCAGAAGTGGAAATAAAAAGTGAAGAAGAATCAAAAGAACAACCCCCTAATGTCCCAATATCTGGTTGGATTGATTCAGTAGTTTCAAAATTAAAGTAATATTAAAAAATTGTTTTAAGTCATTTGGTATATTAATTATTATTATCATAGGAGAGCAGCAACAGAGATCTGTGTAATATCAGATGTATTAGCTGTTACGAAAGAAAAACGATATATGATACTTGATCCAATTCCTACAGAATCGATTGAAACCAAACCAATGGCTCAAATTTATCTTCGTAAAAAGGTTTAATATTTATAATTTGTAATTTTAGTATTGTTTCAAATACTATTTTAAATTCTGAGTGGAGCAAAGAAGCTTATGGTTTTATAAAGATGTTTATTTTTTTTTCTGTATACAACTTTTCTACCAGAGGACTTGCTTCGATTTTTATGTGTAGCGACTTTTCTGAAAGAAAGTCAGTGTGGGGTGGTACCTTGTAGAGGTAATTGTTTGATTTCTTCAAGTTTTCTCATAAAATACGAAAAAACCGAAAAAAAAATGAGAAAGTTTACGAAATATAATAAATATAACATTATGATTTTTTTTTTCTGTAGACAACTTTTCTACCAACAATTTTGTTCCAACTTTTATTTATATTTCTGAAAGGAAATTTCAATGGGGAGATACTTTAGAGAGGTCGTTTTTTCATTTTCTCAGCAAATATGAAAACCTTGAGAAAATCAGTACAACATTAATCAAATATTATTAAAAAAAATATATAGCGCCTATTTAATTATCTTTCTATAATATGGCATATATATTATTGAGAAATGATCCCTATCAACTGAACTCCGCTCAAAATCGTTTTTTCGTAACCAAAGGTTTATATTGTTGCCTACAGGTGTATATTAAATTACCTATAACAGTGACTGCCCCCGTCCCCATTATCCTAGAACATCTTTTTATTATATTTTATATACTTGAATTATAAAAATATTCAATAAAATTATACTTACAATATTTTAACTTTAAAATTAGGCATTAGCTAGTGCATCAACTATAATAATGTCAGCTGTAGACCGTTTAAGAAGTAGTCAGAATGAATTCATGAGAAATCGGACAACACCTGATTTCCATATTGAATTATTGAGATTGCGACAAAATTGGAGACTGAAAAAGGTTTCTACAGCAATTATTGGTGATTTAAGTTATAAAACAGGTAATAACTTAATTTTTGATTCAAATGAAATAATAATTTAATTTAGAGTAAAAATTGCATAATTTTGTTTTGTATTAGCTATCCAATTTATGTAAAATATAAAACCAACGACACTTATATCTCAGCCTCCGATTTTGTTCCCACAATAACAAGCTTCAAACTCCAACACCACCTTAACTTACTCGAAAACTGGTTCACACTATGGAAAATAAAAATTAATACAAACAAATCTAGCCACATTACTTTCTCCCTTCGCCCAATCAATTGTCCTCCAGTCAAATTTTGCAACCAATTATTACCTCAAACCAACCAAGTTAAATACTTAGGACTCATTTTCGACAAACGATTAACTTGGAAAGCACATATTTGACAAAAGAAAGAAACTAAACTCCAGATTACATCTCCTACGTCCTCTCTTACGATCAAATTTAAACTTTAAACTCAAAATCCTTATTTACAAAATGTGGATCTTTCTACAATAAATGTTGCTTGAATCACAAAGAACTCTTATATAATTTTGGATCTAGTTAGTGTACTAGTGAAGTCAATTGTAATTTTCTTTGAAATTTTCATTATAAATATTTTGTAAAAACAGACAAATTTACAACAAGTTTCATTATTTTAAATTATGTTTTAATTCAGTTAAAAATAAGATTTTCACTTAATACTTTTACAAAGTGGTATGTTTAACCATTAAAATTTATTCTGTGAAATAACCACATTACACATGTATATTTTTCAACACATCAAATTTTAATTCAAAAAATATGATATAAGAATAATTTTTAAGGCAATAGAATTACGGGATTTAAGTATCCACAGTTAATAATTGTATAACTGGTATATCTCATATGAAAGAATATTTTCTGTACGTTCAATAATCAATCTGTAGAACATAATTTGATACTGGTATAAAATGGTTTGTATTATAAGTATTTTTTTTTAAATATAGCTGGTTCAAAATTTGGACAAAGTGGAATGTTTGAAGTGACAAAAGCAGAAGATGATATTCAATCAACAAGTGGAATATCTTCTAGTAGCCCATCAACATCTCCCAGTCATAATATGTCTATTTCAAAAGCACCTTCAGCCCTTAGAGTGACAGTACCCACAGAATTACAAGGAGTATCATATATAATGGTATTATGTCAAAAAGGTAATTGAATGGAGTTTATAGTTTACTTTATTAATAGATCATGAATATTTTTACATTAAGAAATAAACATGTATTTTCATTATCTATGCCATATTTAATGTATTTATTTATTTTCATTTCCTATTTTAGACCAAGAAAATATTTTCAACACCTCGTTTAATCTATTAGGATCAGCTCCTGCTACGCCTAATCCGGATATGCATTGGCAACAGAAATTAGAAGCTGCTCAGAATGTTCTATTTTGTAAAGAATTGTTCAATCAGTTAGCCAAAGAAGCAGTTCAATTACAAGCAACTATACCACATATGGTTGTTGGCAATCAAATTTCAGCTACAGTATGTATATAGTAATAAAGAATAACTTAGTAACTTAGTATATCATTTTCATTTTCTTGCCTTACTAACCTAACTTAGTGTTATAGGAGTAGAAACTTAAATTTGATATTATATTTCTTTTGTAGGTATTTCCTGGTATACAGTTAATTATTGGTTTATGCCATAGTTCCACAAATGGTAACCCTAATACTATACTACCATCTAAAACAGATCATGATCACGTATTAGAACACTCACTACATCAACTATTAAGGGAAGTACATCACAGAAATACTCATCAACCATTTCCACATCCTTCATCTGGGCCTTTAGGTCCAAGTAAACGGCGTGCAGTTGCTGGACCAAATGCTGCAGACCGTTTTGAATTATTAGAAATGTCTAAAACGTAAAAAAAAAAAACAAATCTTTAATAAAATAATATAAAAAATGCTAACTGTTTAAATTTAAATTTTAGCCATACTTTATTAGAACAAATTATTGAACAAGCGCAACATTTTTTTATGAGATTACGTACAGAATATGTTATTGATACACTTGCTAAAGAGGTAAATTTTGTTCAGTATTTATACTATATATCAAAAATAAATTAATGTGTAATGCTTATAGGTCAAAGATCCAATCATAATTTCACATTGGAATTCATTAAACTCCCCAACACAAGCCTGTGTTAAAGTTACTATTGTTTCACATGGATTTGACTGTATTTGTCGAAATTCATTGGTTGTACATGTAATGAAAAAATCATTAAAATGTATTTGCCGTGATGGTAGAGTAATGTATCTATCGTATGAACCTCAAGAATTAAGAGATCTCATTTTTTGTCAAGTAAGAATATATTATACTATGTATCAAAAAAAATCAGTCATTTTATCTTTTAAATAATATTTGGAATCATTTCTTATTATTATTAAGACTAATTTTTTTTTTCACTTTTTATTACTTTTATGTTTACATATTCTATCTATCTTTATTTAAATATTTTATCATTGTTAAATTTTTCTGCATGAGTGCATAAATACTATTAACCCATTCTAAATCATTAATATAGCATAATGTACAAATGTACTATGTTTCACCTGATAAACACAACACTTTTTTTTTCAATCATAAAGGAAGTCAGTAATGTTAACACAAACAATATTGGCAGTTATAAATAATTTGGATTATACTTATTTGTGTTATAATTACTGTTAATATTATTAAAATTATTCTAATTTATTTCAATAAAAATTGAAGAATACACTAAAGCTGGATTATACTGTTGTATTAGTTTATCTAATAAGTGTTATAATAAAATTATGCCACACACAAAGCTTGTCTTATTTTGCTATTGTTCATTAAATAAAGATTGTATTTTTCAGCTTTATATTTTTTTAATCTTTATTATGTTTAATGGAAAATGTTTACTAAGTTACTAATCAATTTGTTTTACTTATTTATTGTCCCTCATTTAAAATGAATATTACTATATTATGTCACTATTAGGACTATTAATTATGTAACATTTGGATAAAAATATTGAAAATTACAACTGTTTATATTATTAACAATATTTAGAACTCACATTTCAATGTAAGATGTATTTTTTCGAGAAGCTATCTAAGACGATACTTTTCAATAACAGCCAATTCATATAACAGATATTTCCAATATGAAACTTATTTTGAATTTTCTATTTTTTTTAATTTTTAAAAATTATTTTGGTAATTTTATTAGTTTTAAGAACATATTTATATTCTTAACAAATTAATAGTTTAAATTAAGGTAATTTAAAATGTTGTCTTTAGAAATTTTATTTATATGCAATTTTCTTTAATAGTTTTTACTTATTCTTCATCAATACAGATTGTCAATTATTATATTTATGATTTCGATAACATTTTTTCTTTATATTTATTAACTTCTGTTGTATTAACCACAATGGAAATTTGTATATTTTATTATATTATAATTTGTATTTTTTTTTTTAATGTGAGCCCCAAATTTAAGTAAAAACCACGAGCCTCGACTTTGCCTCCTTCCTATTAACAACTAGTGGTACCAGTTCAAACAAATTTTTCACTGTTTTCTCATTTTTAGAGTAGTCATAAGCATTTTTGGGTAATTTTTGAAAGGTGTAATTTTGCTAAAATGCATTCAAATACAGGTCCTAATAATAATATATTATTTATTATGTATTATTTTTGTATAGATTTACCAACATCAAATAATGGGAGTACAATCTGTTGCTAAAACGCAAGGATGGCAATGCTTAGCTAGTTCTTCTCATCTTGGTCTTGGTCCAGTTGAGCCTATGGGAAATGCTAGTTCATGTCTCTTAGCATCACCAATAGGAGATAGGTACTATTTTAAAAATATTTTCATATTGGTATTATTTAATACAATTCTTAATTGTATATTTTAATTCAGGTTAATATCAGTAAAATGTGAACCACAAGGAAACGTTAGTGTAAGTATTGCACACTCACCAAAAAAAGATTTCTTTGGAGGTCAGTTGGTTAAAGAAAGAAAATGGGAAAATTTAGGAGGTTCATTTAAAAAAGTTCGGTGGGACAAAATGGAAGGTAAAAATTTCTTAAACAAAATTGAACTTTTAATGGCTAGTTTAACTAATTCAACGTGATTGTTCCATAACTAATTTTATAATAACCTGTTAATATTAAAACAAATTTATTATAATTATTTGTATTGTATATAATAATTTTATTATTTAGTAAAAATAACTTTTTCTTTTTCTATTCAAATAAATGTGATGTATTATGTTTTCATTAATTTATATGTAAGGACATTCAAATGTTATTAACCTTTGAGCTGGTGATCAGCGGTATTTACACAGCATTTTTGAAAAATTTGTGAAGATATTTATTAAGTGCATCTGATTTATTGAATTAGGTATTCTCTAATTACTTATTCAAATGCAGTATGTACAGTTTTAATATGTTTAGACCACAATCATCTAAAAATTACAAATGCAATATAACATGTGCATATAACAACAAAATACATGTCTGAAGGTTAAAATAAAATAGTAATGATTTTTAATTAGAAAGAATATGATGTTAAACAATGCCTATCTTAAAATATTTAATAATATTCTGAAAATAAAAACAATTCTGTTGTAAAGTATAATATAATTAAATAAATTACAAATATTGTAAGGATGATTAATTATAAAGAAGACTAAATAGCTAAATATGATATTGACGTATTCAGCTATACTAATGAATAGTAATGATATTTTATTAAATCAACATTTTAGTAAATTGTATGTAATATTTATATTATATAAATTCAAAATTAAACTAGTTAGATAGTGAATGCTTATGAAAACGGGTCAAAATTAGATTGAATATTAAATCAGATATTGAATTACGGGCCAATAGTTAATAGAAGAAAAAATTGAATTTATTGTGAATTATTATGTATTGGTTACATTTTTAATCTAGTTTGTGGGTAAGAAAGTTTTTTTTTGATTTTCTAGTTTTATTGTTCTTTTTTTATATTGTGAGCTATTATTATTACCTATATTATTTATCTTCTCATAAAGGTTGTTAATTCTTTGCTCTGTTTTATTGTTCAAGCTAGAAACCTTACTAATACAAACCAACCACTATTTTATAATTAATAATTATGTAAAAACAATGAATTGTACATAATACCTAATTAATGGTTTTTGTTATATTTGATTTTGATTTTTTGGAATTATTTAATCAAAAATAATCGTCGAAACATTTCATTAATACAGATGTACAATTTTCAAAATATTTTATCGATTTTTGAACTATTATTAAAGCCATTTGAAATCTCTGAGTTCTTGTTATTGTTATTTTTTGGTTTCTTGAAAATTCTATACATCTTAGGTTTTTCATAAGTTGTTCTATGAAACTATACTATTTTCAAAAATCGGTAAGTAATCACAATTTTTTTAGCGTTTAAAATTTTTAATTTTGATGACCTGCTAGTTTTATAATTATGTGTATAAAACTTTTTCAGATCCATAAAAAAAAGCTTAAAATAATTCACTGTTCATTCAATCATTGACTTCATGGTTTGTTTCTATTCGTATTGGATGTTTTCTGATTGATGCATTGAAGAGATGATTTTTTGATTTTCATTATAGTTTTCTTAATAGGTAATTGAAAATAACTGAGAATATATGGATACGTAGGAATAACGATCAAAATAATCACATAGATATGTATAAAAGTTTTTATTGCTTTTGATCTTATTTTTAATGTAATTTGTTTAGAAATAGTTGTAAAAATCAAATTTTCAACGAATATAGATTTAGGTAACGATAATAGGTTGTAGCACTTTATCAGATGCGGTACAAGTTCCAAAACATTCTGAAGATTTTAGCCATTTGAAATTGATCCAGCAAAAATTTAACATGATTATTACTTTATAAATGGAATTTTGGTCTAAATAATTTTGTTTTTATTGAAGGATGTTCAACATTTGAAAATCATAGTAGGTACGTTATCAAATGAATCTGAAAAACTGATTGAACATTTGTGTGACTGTTCATCTATATCTGAATATGATAAAGACTGTATAATCTTAGATTTACAGACTTTGAAATTTGTAGCTATTAATAAAATATAAATTGCTGGAAATCCCATTTCTGAACTTATTAAATCTATTATTGGTTATCATTTATCAAGCAGAATCAGTTTTATCGTATACCGATTCCCATGACTGCTATGGTCATTCAACTGCAATGAATCGAGTTATGTCAAAACTTCGAAATCGGATGACTCAACAAAAATTGAGATATCACATGAAATAAAATATTGAAGGTGAAGAAAACCAATCTCAAGAATTCATCGAATTGTTTGCAAGAAAAAACTCGTCAAATTAGATTAATTTAAAAAAAGCTGCCCTAGGATGATGGATATGGGTGTAACTACTGTTGTAGGTGGGAAATTGGGAAGGTAGCATGCAGCGTGACTTTTTAATCACGAACTAAGAATTATCACAGACGATTTTAAGTGAATTTGATTTCTGTTTTTTCTTCATCATTATAGAATCGTTTAAGCTTTATTTTAAAATCATTTTTAATTTTTTACTCCTACTTCATATAACTTATGACTTAAATAGGTACCTACATACTTTTGATTTTTAAATAAGAATCCCCCCTTTTGAAAACAGATTTGAATAGAGAATATTTTTCTAGAAATTTCGATATACATAACACTAATATCATATTTACCGTTAATGAAATAACAATTTAAAGTTTAGACCGGAAGAGTAGGGAAGGGTTATAGATAGGCAATTTATAATCTTAAGGAAAGCAGAAGGGAAATTTAATGTATATTTGTACGCAAAGATTTATCATTGCTTAAAAAAAATGATTCTAAGCGGCATTCGGTTACTATGCATTTTTTGAAGGGCCGTAATATTTAGGATTTAAAAATAATACATTTCGTAAACTGTCCCGTTTTTTCTTCGTTTCCTCTTTAAGTACCATCCCAGTAAATTTAATTTCAGAAAAAAGTGCTATACTTGGTAATCGGGATAAACTTTCTGGTAGAAAAAGTATTCACATGAAAAAAGTAAAAAATGCAACTAAAAGAATATCTATAATCAAACCTGTGTAAGACCACCGTATGTGATATCTTCTGCATAACAGTAGACCAAATGTCCAAGGTATGCAGATCATAGTTGAAAGACCACACGGGAAATACGGTAGCGTCATATTTGCGAAACTAAACCTACAAATTTTATCATTAGATAACATAAAACAGTCTAACATAGAAATTCTAACTATTGAACTGAAAAATTACACAGTCACTTCTATTTGTAAACCCCCAGCGAAAATATTCATTTTTCAAAATCCTAAAAATTTAGACAATCAAACAATAAAAATTATTATTGGTGACTTTAATAGTCATTGCTCTATGTGACTATAAAGAAAATAATGACGATGGTGACAGTATGGAAACATGGGCAGAAACTGAGGGGGTTAGAAATCATTCATGATCTCCAGCTTCAATATTCTTTTAACAGTGGCAGTGATAAAATCCGGACCTAATTTTTGTACGTGAAAAAATAAAACAACAGATCTTCAAGTGAATTTGCAACTATATACCACGATCACAACATCGCTCTATACTATGTGATACTACGTCGAGGATAAGGTACAATCAACAACGTAACCTTTCAAAGGAGATTAAGTTTCCATAAGAAAACTGTCTCAAATTCTCGGAAGAAATAGACATCAAAGTAAAGACCTTGGAAACAACAACAGCAAATTACGGAAAGTTTGTAGAAATAGTGAAGCACACGCCGAGGAAATTTATCCCCAAATGTTGCAAAACAAGACACATCCCAAGTCTAACCCTAGAACTGTCCGAACAATTTCAAAAATACACAGATCTATTTAATGATGATCCATTTAATAAAAAAACAATTAAAAAAGGAGATCAGTTAATGGAAGAAATATCAAACACAAAAAAAACAAACTGACAATCACTTACAAACTCCCCCGACATAAAACATAGCAGTAAGAAAGCCTGAGGATCAATAAAAAAACTTGATTGTGATCTATCAATACCAAAAGTACTGGGATCCGTAATAACAAATCAGGTGGCACATCAATTACTCTTGAATGGGAAAATCACAAACAATAAATCAACGATTCAAAGACTGCAGTGTGGAGAGAAAGACGATTTTGGAAGGAAATATCTCAGTACCTGAACTTCAAAAAGTCATCAACTAACTCAAAACCGGAAGCCGCAGGACAAGATCACATAAACAAATGTGATCTCTGAACAAATTAAGAATTTTGCACGACAAACCAAAAAGTACATTTTAGATCTGTTTAATGGTATTTTACTTACGTAGATGACACCCAAAACTTGAAGAAGAACTAGAATTATCGCACTATTAAAATGGAAGTCGATTTTTTTTTTATAACGATTCAAGATGAATTTTTTTGAAAATCGTAAATATTATGTTCTTTTAAAACATGTAAAAACGAACTTCATTCAGAAACATTTTTCACTACCAATGGTTTATCGTTGCTTAAAAATATAAATCAAATAACCTTATGTATACTACTTTCCCAACTTCCCACATACAACAGTGACGTACCCATCAATTTTATCAGCTCTTCTTTTTTAAATTTAATTGTGTCTATTCAATAACAAACCCTATCAACCCCTTATTTAAATCCACATGTTACGTTACATTATTAGTTCCTATTTAATAAGTAGGTCTATGACCGTCTATTTAGGTCTATGATCGCAGTAAATGTATGACCTATGTACACACAAGTGGCATTTATTAATACAAAGTTATCTGAATCATCTCAAATAATCTCGGTATGTTTACCTAATTTATATAAAATTTAACAACAACAATATGTCTATGTGAATGATTGGTTTATAGTGCAGTATTTTTTAGTGATTTTTGGGAAATAGAATTTTCGTTCTTTCCTAGCAAATGGGCGCACGTAGATTGAGTGTAATGTAAACAACTTTTGAAATATTTATTTACACAATTTAAAGTACCGAAAATACAAACACAGAGGTTAAAGTAGAGAGACGTAAGAGCAACGTAGTTCCCCTATCTCTGAGTTGGACCAAAAAAGATTCGAATAAATCTCATTTTTATAACCTTATGCAATTTGATTGATAAATAATTGTTCACCAACCTACCTTAATAACTTAATTT